ATAGCCGTACAGTGTCATTCTCAAGAGAACGACCAGTCATAATTGTGAATCCGGGTGAAATAAATTTGGTGGGCACAAGAAAATTTTTTATTCATCATAAAACTAAATCTAACATGAATTCTAATTCTGTTTATTTGTCGAAAGTCTCCATGTTGATGTGGTAACAAGTATCGTTAATGATATTCAAGGACAACTAAGAGAAATATCTGAAGAAGGCCAAAGAGTAGACCGGCCAAAGTAAAAGAAAAATAACGTAAAACTCACATGGCCAGAATATTGACTTAGAGTGTCTACAACGGTGTCCTTACTAAAGTTTATTTTTATACATATTTATACAATGCCTAGTCCTACCGCCAGTCATCTCGTGTTCACAAAAGAAGACACTTATCGAAGCTTAAGATTTGAGACGAAATAATTGATGATTATATTCTGATAAAAGATCGGCTATTTTCTCTTGTTAATCATTGAAGTAAACGTACCGTAATGAGTGTCACCAATCTAGTGACTGACATAGAACGCTTCCCCACCCATTTTTCTAGACTGGAAACCGACTACTGGGATGGGGCGACATGGTAACATTCTAATGATATCATGTCGCGTCATAGGATGTTGATTGGGAACAGGGTTGACCTAAATGTGTTGAGAACAAAATAGCTGTAATCTCCATCAGAAGAGTGAATTAAGAATCGATGTTCATGCCTTTATCGCAAGAATTCTTTGGAAACTATTTTTGATTCTTGAAAATATCATAAGAAGAAAGCCAAAGTTTTTTTCGTTTTTATTTGACATTTGGCGTTTATTTGGGAAATTTACTTTTGTTTCGTTCCGGACTCAAAGACTGTCAAATATCCGAGATGGACGATCCACCGAGGAAAGGAAAGAAAATAAAAAATGAAGATAAGTCGAAAAACAGTTACTTTATTCCGAAGCCATTTTTTTTGGTTTATATTTCTTTTTCTGTTTTTTTTTATATATAGAAATATATTATTTGTACATTTTTGATTATATTTTTTTTACTTGTTTTCTTTCTGCGTAACAAATTCAAATGCCAGCGCGATCAGATTATTTCTTTCAATTTCTTCTTGACATGGCGTTTATTTGTCACGACGCGCTTATTGTTTATCGGGTATGCGGGTGGATAACAAGTCGAAATGTGAAATCGGTTAACCGAGATGAAATTCCATTCGGATGTAACATTCACATAAATAATATTGGAAAACGTATGAATCTACCCCAATTTATGGGTTAAATAGTAAGACTAGTATCTGGAAAAATAATTGTTATTCTCAAAAAGTTGTTAATGCAATATTCATGCACACATACAAAAAATATTCTTACAATCCAAAATATATGGTTCAGCTTCAAAAAACACTCAAAGGGTTGATAAACCGTAAAAACCAAATCATTATTATTATTTTTCCCCAGCACGAATGTTTTGTTTCAGAAATTAGAAATTCACTGTGGAATGTTTATTTGAACCAGCAAATTTATTTTGAAAGGAAATTTCGAAACGGCATTTTTATTTAGTACAATTTTTATTTAGTACAATTTTTATTTAGTACAATTTTTATTTAGTACAATGGAATACAGTTCTCTCGTTTCTTGATTAAGACTTCTTTTTCTTTTTATGTGCCGTGTCCTTACAGGACGTTGGCTATCATGACTCTCCACTTCCCCCTATCCCTTGTGGCTCCCAATAAGTTTTATACCTTTGTCAACTCCCCCAAACAACGTTCTGCCATCCACTTGCTTAAGTCCGCCAGGAATGTCATGCGTTGCTTTCCCTTGTCTCTTTTTCCCTCTATTCGACCTGTGAGTATCAAATTCTCCAGGCCTTCCTTTCTCATTACGTGTCCCAGAAATATCATCTGCCGCTTCCTTAAGTTAAGTATAAGTTTCCTCCTTGTTGAGTGAAACTTATAAGAACGTTTTATGAGAGAAAGAGTTTCCAAACTGTTGTCCACGAATACTTGGATGACAATCAGGTCGACAGTTTGTAGCCGAAAATCGCTTTTTAAAACAAGGACAACTGAGCAATAAGCCCGACGCCCCTAACGACTAGATGGAAAATCCGTCGCGAAATGGAAAGTTTTGTTTTGTTTTATGGCATAATGAACCTCAATGGCTTATTTAATGCCGACAAAATTTTTATTGTTGGTAATATTTTTCTTCAAAATCTATTTCTGGGAATATTTTTTCTTCAAAAATCTATTTCTGAGAATATTTTTCCTTCAAGAAATCTATAGCTGGTAATATTTTTTTTCAAAAAATGTATAGCTGTTTGTATCGCTGATAATAATTTTTCCTTCAAAAATTATTGCTGGTAATGATTTTTTTACAAAGTATTACAACGTATTTCTGGTATTTAAACCTATTTTTACACAAGTTTAGGTGTTAACTATTTGCCCATAGCTGGGACCCTAACAGGTGCTACCACTTTAGGTCAGGGTGGACCTGGGAACACCAGCAATTAAGAGATGGTTCCACGCTTCTCAAAACCTCCTGATCAGAGGCCTTACTGTTGGTAGTTTATTGTCTTACTCGGGACGCGGGCGTAGTTTATCGTCATACCCAGGACAAGCGAAATGGAAAGAGCCGAATATTGAATATAACTTGAGAAATAAATTTAACTATTGAACCTGATTTTTCGAAAACATTATTCAACATACAGCTGTGAAAAAGCTTTATGTATTTTACATTCACTTCTACCAGATATTAAGATTCAAATAAATGCAAACAATGAGAAATAAAAATGCCAAAAGTTGCTTCTATTAACCAAAGCCCAAAAAGTGAGTGCTAAAAATAGTGGGGAATCATACTGTTTCATTTATGCAAAAAGAAAGGGTCCTTAAGTTTACAGGCTCACGGCCACATCACGTTGACCTGATGGGACTACCAGGTGCTGTAAGCTTGGATGTGCGGGTGGTGTAGTGGATAATGGCTTGGAATTGTTAATCGGAGTGCCGAGTTCCAATTCCAGTTGGGTCCGTTAAATCACTTACGCGCAAATACATTGAGAAAAGATATCAACCCCCCTCTTCTCCCAGATATGGGTTAATTAGTAGGACATGCATCACTAAAATGCATTATTATCTCAAAAAATAAATAAATAAAATGCGTATAAAAATATAGATTTAGGCATTAAATAAACCATATAGGTTGATATGACGCTAAAAAAACAACCAACTTAAGTTTACAAAATTTTAAAGTTTTATCAAGTAGAAGATCGAGTTATGAAAATTTTAGAAAAAACGATAAAAAGGAAAAGGAGGAGATAAAACAAGAGTAAGGAGTAGGATGAGGAAAAGGAAGAGGAGAATGAGTAGGAGGTGGGGCTGCAAAGCCGGTCTTAAAGGTAAATGATGTATAAAAGGAAATAAGGAATAAAAGATGGTAGAAAGTCTGACTTCAAGAAGGAAAGTTTATTTTCACTATTCAGCAACAAACCTCTTTTCTCCATTCCAATATTTTGACTCCCATCCGACCCAAGGGATGAGGAAATAAAGATAAAGTTTGAACGTCTTCTACCTGGTGCTGAGTGATTTGATGATTTTAACCACCTACCTACCGACTTACTTATCTACTTTATTTTCGTTTTTCATTCATTTATTTGATTAAATTATCATTTTCCGTCTTTCCTTTGCCAACGGACTGCTTCCACCGTCTCTTCTCTAGCCACACACAGCCACCTTCTCTCGAATGAAGCCCCGCAGCCAACACAAACGTTCTAAGCCCTCATCTACCCAGCGTTATCCAAAACTAGCCCTATCTCTTGACCCCAGACAAGTCACTCATGCTAAATTATATGAGGAGAGGGGGGGTTCGAGCCCTGCCTGTTCTTATCGCTGGTTTGTTCGTGATGCTAAGACAGACTGAAGCATCTTATTCGAGGATAGTGTGTACAACTAGGAAATATCTCTCCCCTCCCTCGTCCACACATCTCAACAAAGTCAGGGTTAACTCTAAACCTGCCCTGTTAAAACGGATCTGGCCTTGGCTTCTTTTTCCACAATTTTTCGTTTGCCATTTTAACTACGTTCCAGAACTTTCGAATTTTAAAGTCGAAGCAGCAAGAAAAAAGTTCGGCAAAGTAAATTGTACAGAGTTGAGCAAATTGGGTTAATGGCGACTTTGCCGTTTGGGGTCTAGGAAATTGGGATGTGTTGGGCAAACAAGGGTATTTTTCACTTTTGAGCAACATAGTGCTATATTTAGCGAAGTGTATTCTGCTGTGTTGGGAAAAGTGCATTCTGCTGTGTTGTGAAAAGTGTATTCTGCTGTGTTGGGAAAAGTGCATTCTGCTGTGTTGGGAAAAGTGCATTCTGCTGTGTTGGGAAAAGTGTATTCTGCTGTGTTGGGAAAAGTGCATTCTGTGTTGAGAAAAATGTATTCTGCTGTGTTGGGAAAAGTGTATTCTGCTGTGTTGGGAAAAGTGTATTCTACTGTGTTGGGGAAAAGTGTATTCTGCTGTGTTGGGAAAAGTGTAGTGCATTCTGCTGTGTTGGGAAAAGTGTATTCTGCTGTGTTGGGAAAAGTGTATTCTGCTGTGTTGGGAAAAGTGTATTCTGCTGTGTTGGGAAAAGTGTATTCTACTGTGTTGGGAAAAGTGTATTCTACTGTGTTGGGAAAAGTGTATTCTGTTGTGTTGGGAAAAGTGTATTCTGCTGTGTTGGGAAAAGTGTATTCTGTTGTGTTGGGAAAAGTGTATTCTGTTGTGTTGGGGAAAAGTGTATTCTGCTGTGTTGGGAAAAGTGTATTCTGTTGTGTTGGGAAAAGTGTATCCTGCTGTGTTGGGAAAAGTGTATTCTGTTGTGTTGGGAAAAGTGTATTCTACTGTGTTGGGAAAAGTGTATTCTGCTGTGTTGGGAAAAGTGTATTCTGCTGTGTTGGGAAAAGTGTATTCTGCTGTGTTGGGAAAAGTGTATTCTGCTGTTTGGAAAAGTGTATTCTACTGTGTTGGGAAAAGTGTATTCTGCTGTGTTGGGAAAAGTGTATTCTACTGTGTTGGGAAAAGTGTATTCTGCTGTGTTGGGAAAAGTGTATTCTGCTGTGTTGGGAAAAGTGTATTCTGTTGGGGAAAAGTGTATTCTACTGTGTTGGGAAAAGTGTATTCTGCTGTGTTGGGAAAAGTGTATTCTGCTGTTTTGGGAAAAGTGTATTCTGCTGTGTTGGGAAAAGTGTATTCTGCTGTGTTGGGAAAAGTGTATTCTGTGTTGGGAAAAGTGTATTCTACTGTGTTGGGAAAAGTGTATTCTGTTGTGTTGGGAAAAGTGTATTCTGCTGTGTTGGGAAAAGTGTATTCTGTTGTGTTGGGAAAAGTGTATTCTGCTGTTTTGGGAAAAGTGCATTCTGCTGTGTTGGGAAAAGTGTATTCTGTTGTGTTGGGAAAAGTGTATTCTACTGTGTTGGGAAAAGTGTATTCTGCTGTTTTGGGAAAAGTGTATTCTGCTGTGTTGGGAAAAGTGTATTCTGCTGTGTTGGGAAAAGTGTATTCTACTGTGTTGGGAAAAGTGTATTCTACTGTGTTGGGAAAAGTGTATTCTGTTGTGTTGGGAAAAGTGTATTCTGCTGTGTTGGGAAAAAGTGTATTCTGTTGTGTTGCTGTGTTGGGAAAAATTCTGTTGTGTTGGGAAAAGTGTATTCTACTGTGTTGGGAAAAGTGTATTCTGCTGTTTTTGGGAAAAGTGTATTCTACTGTGTTGGGAAAAGTGTATTCTGCTGTGTTGGGAAAAGTGTATTCTGCTGTGTTGGGAAAAGTGTATTCTGCTGTGTGTTGGGAAAAGTGTATTCTGCTGTGTTGGGAAAAGTGTATTCTGTTGTGTTGGGAAAAGTGTATTCTGCTGTGTTGGGACTGTGTTGGGAAAAGTGCATTCTGCTGTGTTGGGAAAAGTGTATTCTGCTGTGTTGGGAAAAGTGTTGGGAAAAGTGTATTCTACTGTGTTGGGAAAAGTGTATTCTGCTGTGTTGGGAAAAGTGCATTCTGCTGTGTTGGGAAAAGTGTATTCTGCTGTGTTGGGAAAAGTGCATTCTGCTGTGTTGGGAAAAGTGTATTCTGCTGTGTTGGGACAATTATATTGTGCGATATTGGACTACGTAGGTTCTGCTGTGTTGAGCACGGGATATTTTGTTCTGTTGAACAAGGTAGATTGTTAGGCATAGTGTATTCTGCTGTATTGGGAAAATTAAACTATACTGTGTTGTGCAAAGTAGATTCTGTTGTATTCACCATTCGGTTAGTTCGGTTGATGAAAGTATTTTTTGCTGTGTTGGGCAAAAAAGAGATTCTGGTGTATTAGGCAAACTAGATACTGCTGTGTCATGAGATAGAATTTCGTAAAATGGATGATAGATATTGACAGCATACTTTGATATTATGAAAACATCTGACATAAAATGAGTCTATGCTACATTTAACACAGTCTAATTATGGGTGTCGGGGTCAGACGGATGCAACATTCTATTTCTGAGATTGTAGGATTATTTTACATCCTTTGATGTACAATCTGATGTGCGAATGTCCAATATCCGAACGTGGACAGTGCAGTGACTGACATCGTGTCCGTAATAATCTTTACTATATCTTTATTCATATTGTCCTTTTACAGATATATTTTCAGTTATAACTGAAATTTTGCGCGCGTGTGTGTGTGTGTGTGTGTGTGTGTGTGTGTGTATTAGCCGAGGAACCTGAAATAACTGAAATAATCTAAACCAAACATTCACGCAATACAATTTGTGTGTCATATGTAATTTACATGGCAAATTTGGAAAGCATCGGATGAAAAGCCATTGAAACTGGCCTTTTGAACAGTTTTTTCGTGGTTTATCGTTATATGTGGGGAAGCGAACAAGGCTAAAATCACACTATCTTGTTTCTTGCATTATAGCAAACGTTTTGCTACATGTTTGAAGAAAATCGGATAAAAAATGTGGAAGCTATTCAAGTATTTATTTTAATTAGTACGAAGAAAAACATTTTTTCGCAATTTTTGTGTGAAGCCAATACATAAATATCATAACATGAGCCGACGTTTTGCATTAAATGAAAAGAACATCAGCTCATCAAGTAAAAAAAAATTGTTCGCGTGTAACGTCTTGGCTTTTGAAAAGAAGTCATATTTAGGCTTTATCGATTTTTCTGCCAAACTCGGGGGGCTGGAGATTGAAAAGTTGGTTTTGACCTAAGATGGTAAATTTGCAATATGTGTATACAATTTCATTGGAATCGGTTATGAAATGTAGACGTGCATAAATAGCATACACACACAGACAGCCATACACACAGACACACACAAAGGCAGCTTCTGTTTTATATATCTATCTGTGTGTGTGTGTGTGTGTGTGTGTGTGTGTGTGTGTGTGTGTGTGTGTGTGTGTGTGTGTGTGTGTGTGTGTGTGTCCGTATCCACGTAGGCATTAAAATCACTAATATATATATATATATATATATATATATGTATATATATATGTTTGTGTGTGTTTGTGCGTGCATGCGCGAGTGAGTGGTGTGTGTGTGTATGCATATTTTATTTTTAAAGTTCCTTCTTTAAAGATAGAAATCCAACAAAGAAAAGAAAGAAAATGTGAATGAGTTTATTGAGAAGAAGAAGAAGAAGAAAGAAGAAGAAAAAGAAGCAGAAGAAGAAGAAGAAGAAGAAGAAAAAAAGAAGAAGAAAGAAGAAGAAAAAGAAGAAGAAGAAGAAGAAGAAGAAAAAGAAGAAGAAGAAGAAGAAGAAGAAGAAGAAGAAGAAGAAGAAAAGCCAAACGCTGAATAACAGAAAAAAGTAAAACGAAAACAAAATGAAGAAGAAAGAAAAAACATCAACGAAAATTAAAAAGTAGCAAAAAGACAAAAAGAGATAATAAAAAAAAAGAATTATATATATATACACGTTGCTTGGCAGGACAGATGCACGTGAGGTCAGCTTAACCAATGAAAAAACAAGCAATATAATAAAAAAAATATCAGAATTTTCTTTTCTCCTCCATATTTCATTTTCTGATGAAGCTTTAATAAAAGCGAAACGTTAAATTTATAAACATTTCCTATATGTTTTCTATATGTCTGTGTGTATGCGCGTGCGTGTGTCTGTTTTCAAGTGCGTGCCTGCTTTTGTCTGTGTTTGGATGTTGAAAATTACTACCTGATAGCAACAACGATAGAAATTTGATTGTGGCTGTAATGTACTTGCAAAATCTCTATCAGCCTCAAAATATAAATGCCACTCTAAATGCAAATTACGAGTGGAAATATAAAAAAAATATATTTATTTATAAATGAATTGAAAAGACTGATGCTAAAAATGTGTTTCGAAATTGTCCCAATCCGGGTTACCAAGCTTCTCTCATATTTCGCTCTTTTTCTGAAACAGAACCTGAACATTACTTTAATTATATTGAGATGATAAATTCATACCAATATCTATTCCTCTCAATGTCACTCCCTCAATGTTTCTCTCTTTCATTTTCTACCTCACTCGCTATGTCTCTTTCCTCTCACGCTCTCTCTCTCTCTCTCGTCCCCCCACCTCTGTGTGTGTGTGTGTGTGTGTGTGTGTGTGTGTGTGTGTGTGTGTGTGTGTGTGTGTGTGTGTGTGTACGTGATTTTGCACACGTTTAAGTGTGTATCTTTCGTTGGTGTGTGTAGAGGGGTTTTTTCTCTATATCCGTAAGCCTATCTCGATGTCGATATCCTGCACTCAACCCGCAGATCAACACTGCATATCATTACTCAAACTTCTTTAAGCCCCCCTCCCCACAAATTCTTATAGAAATACTGATTTGAAGAGTTGGGTCTGGCCAAGATCTTTTCAGCGCCCCTCGTACAATAAACATAGACGTAAAACTTATAGATAAGTACAGAATTTTGTCTTCTTTGTAACAAGACAATAACTTGTGGAATACGCAAGGTTTATTAATAACGACTCTAGAATAATCCCATTCTGATACAAACTATTTGTTTTCGATCAACCGTTTTCGAGCAGGTTATTTAAAGCCTGAAAATATTTTTAGATTATAAGAATTTTGCTTTTTGTTTGTTTTTTTTTGTTTGTTTGTTTTGTTTTTTTGTTTTTTTTGCTGATAATGATGGTTTATTCATACAAGAAGTTTTATTAATTAACGCATAGCTAAGTGAATATAACAAACCGGACTGGAATTGGAACTCGGTTCTCCGATTAACAATTTCGAGCGATTATCCATTACACCACCGCACATCGAAGCATCTGATATTGCCAAGCGGTCACCCATCCAGATAGTGACCAAGCTCGAAATGTTTCAACGTGATGCGACTGTAAGCCTATTCTGGTACAAGGCAATGTTCCTATAACTCTGACTGGAAATCAAAATCGTAACACAGTTGAATTGCTTTATTTATTACGTCGCAACAGAAATAAATATGAAATAGCGAGAATAAGTTTATTATTATTATTATTATTTTAATATAGCGTTAATATTAAATTTCCTGTCTTTGAGACGCTAAGTGATATACAATGAAAGCGGGACTTATGTACAAAGGAACGAACAAATGAACAAAAGGAATAATATTGTAGATTATTTTCATTTAACTGTGAAATTCTGAATATTGCTGATTGTTTTCTAAAACTTCGTAAAAAGCAAAGATAAAAAGAATATAAATAAACAGGAGTAAATAGGTTCGCCTGTTATGTGATTCACAAACCTCTCCGGTTTTTGGACAGGAGTAGAGGTCTATTCCTTGTATTCTGTTTAGGATTGAGATTCTGGTTCCTTCTAAAGTTTTCTCATTCTCTTTCACTCCCACCAGCCACACCCCTTGCATCTTAGTGGCGTTATCTCCTTGCTTGGGGTGAATTGGTTAAAAAGAAACAGGTACGAGAGAAATAATAAAACCAGAGAAATATCCTTAGGGACACTAACGGTTAACCATTTAAACAGGTTAAGATTGTAGTAATCAGAGAAACATTCTCTTAGGAATCGATTCCAAGAGCAATGGTTTGTGGAAAGAAGCTGCTTCAGTGGAACTTACTTCTCATCAATGGAATACGGACGGAACGAGAATTGTTTTCTACAAAATGGCATGACGAATCTTTGCCATGAAGGTTATTCCTGGTGGGAAAAAAGGAATGTAGTTTGTCTGAACACTTTCCATGGAAGTAGCGAGAGAACAGTGAGAGGGGGGTGAAGATTGGGAAATAATTTGTCATTCACAAGGCCAAGATTGTAGTGATATGCGAAATATCATTTGGGAGTCGATTCCACAGAGCAGTGTTTCGCGGGAAGAAGGTGCTGGTGTGGAACTTCTCATTAGTGGAATACGGAGGGAATGAAGGTGGTTTACTACAATGTGAATGTCATGGTGGGTCCGAGTTGTGAAGAACTGGCGGAAATATGGACTGCAATTCATCCAAACACATTCCATGGTTATAGCGATAGGAGCTGTGAGAAGATATGCACATCCTGTCTGTGAGAGAGGAGTTGCAAAATGGAAAATAATTTGTCATTCACAAGGATGCGGTGAGGCTTTTGAACTCTATTGAGATTGTAATGTGGGGACTGCGTAGTTCTTGTCCGAATATGGTAACAGTATTTTTGGCCTGATCTGGCTTTTGTAAAGATAGAGCATAGTACGAGGAGTTAATTACCCACTGGAACGGTACAGGGAATCGAACATTTTTCTTGTATCTTTAGCGATGGATTGTTTGTACGAGTTCCACTTGAGGTCTGTGAGGAGTTTAACGTCAAACCATCTCTCAAGACACGGGCCTCCCTGAAGGGACATCTATTCATCGTGTCTGGTGGTAGTTCGGTGTCCGATTGGCGTTGATGGAATGTAATTAGTTTGGTTTCGAGGCATTGGATGTAACCAGCCAGTTTTCCATCCATTGAGATCGGATGAGAGATCTGCTACCAATCTTTGGTCATTACGAATTTTGGAGGTGCACTCATATAACATTGAATCATCGGCATGGATAATTCACAAATGATTTAAGTATATTCTTAAGCAGATCGTTTATGTAAAGTAAAAAGACGGTTGGTCCGATGAGTGAATACTGGGAGACACCTGCATTGATTGTTAGGACCCCGGTGGACTGGTTATTAACAACTACCTTCGGGGACCTACCCGCTAGGAAGGACTTTTACTATTGAGAAGACTCTTCCGTGACACCATAGCTTTAGAGCTTGAGAAGCAATTCTTTGTGCTACACCTTGTCTAAGGCTTTTGAAATATCTAATCCTTTGGTCCTTGGGGTGTATTTGTTGTCTACTGTCTCATTAATTCTGTGAGTAATAGTAATTAGGACATAAGCGATGGATTGTATGTACGAGATCCACGAGGTCTGGGAGGAGTTTAAGGTCAGTTGCGACATGTAATTTTATTATCGATAATTTATGTCATCATCCTGACATCACTTTGGCTACTTATTTAATAATAATAATAATAATAATAATAATAATAATAATAATAATAATACGGGATTTTTAACGATCAAAAACAAACGCTTTTAAAACGACGTTAAAAATCTGACTTGCAGTTGCATAAAAATTCACAGAGACTGACACATCTACACAAAACAGTACCCTGTCTGGAGGCCAAAGCTGCTGATGGCACCAAAGGGGGCAGTGCCGCCTTAGCCACCAAAACTGTGTTACCTCCCTTGGTTGGCGGCTGATGAGGGCAGGGCATCACACGTTGTATGTAGAAAAAATCCAGACATAACAATCAAAACTAATCGCCCAGACATCCCAGCCACCCTAAAAATAACCATTCGAGGCAGAGAATTACTGAGGCAAGGTGACAACGCCGCCAAGATGCAACGGAACTGGAAAGCCAATCCTAAACTGGAAACTGTTATAACCTAGAAAGGGTTACTGAATGAGGAATAACCAAAACGGAGGTTGGAAATGAAATGGTAATCTTTATCATCAAAATACAATACTTGCCAGTGGCGTGAAGTAGGTAAACCACTGCTAGTGGCGGACTACTTAGACAGCATATTAGCCCCATTTACAATAGTGTCCAACGTACTTATGAGGATTGGGACATACTCATTAGTGTTCATAGGTTAACAGTAATAAAGGATAAATATCTACTCTTGCCGGGAGGAGTGTGAACCTGACAAGAGGCGAACTTATCTACTCCTGTTGAGGAAAAAGAAAGATGAAGAGTTTTAGGCAAAGACGCGTTAGAAGTACAGAGAGTTGAAGTAGACATTTTAAGGAACCGGAAACACAGAGAGAGAAAAATTTCGTTCAAAACAAAGAAAAAGGTGCTAATCGGCCAATACCATAGCTATTCCTCTACAATGCAGTGAATGCTCGACAAATTCCTTAGGTATAAAAAGGAAACTGGACGCCACAGAAATTTCCTTATATAAATGGTTACTGAGAATACGATAAACGAAACATGTGGCCAATGTGAAAGTATTAAGAAAATTGAGACGAGAAAGGACGGTTATTCTTCGACGTAAAAAAAATATAGATGAAAATTCTGGTAGAAAGAGGATTTGGAGAATTTGACATTCAGAAGATATTTTGAAATCGGGAAGGGTCAATGGAAACAGCGAATAAGCCGCTAATGAGTTCATGTAAGAGCGAGGATAAAGTGGGATGGTAAAAAATTATTAGAGCTACAAGGGACAGTATGGACCAAGATCTGAATTGATACGGAACATAAAAGAAAATTGGAGCAACACAATCTTCCTATTCCATTTAATCATGAACTAATGAAGCTATGCTTGTTAAATATTTTAAAAAGTAAACTTACTTCATTGAATCTTTTCTTGTGCCCCACGGCCGATATATTCTATAAAGTCATAGAAGACATGAAGGCATATCGATATGGCGTAATGGTTAGCAAGTTTGTCTCTCTAGATCAATGACGACTTAATAGAGAGATCGATCCTCATTGGGTGTTCCATACTTTCGGCCTTGTGCCACATCTGAGCTGCGCTTATAAAATTGCCATTATTAGAGAATATCTTCTAATAAATATCTCACCTTTGTTGTTTCCGATTCAGTAGTTGGACTCCTCTACCTTCTTCAATTAAATATTGCATCAGGACGTCTTCATTTCTCCCGTGCACTCTGTTTTTACTAAATATTCACTCAGCACAATACCAAAGAGCCAGTCAAGGTAAATGGTTACTGACTGAGGTTGACGCAGAAGGAAGAAGGAAGTACAGATCATGAGGATATGTAGGATAGATAATGTTTGACTAGACTTGAAGAGGTTAAGATTGTAGAAATCTGGAATCATCTTCTGGGCAATCTGTTTCACAAAGCAGACTTTCTTCTGGTCATCAGTTTTCCTACTTCCTCACCGATTTATTTGGTTCATTATGTTTTAAAATTCTTATCGACAAAACTATTAATGCTAAAAAAAAAAAAAAAGGCTGCATTAAAATGTCGCAGTGCTTCTTAGTCGGATAATTTTCTTTGTATTTGTTTAATTTTTCTTTTAGTGTTTCTTAACATTTAGTGTAGGGTGAAGATGGTCGACATTTAGGAGATCGAATCAAACCGGAACTGCCAGCTGCGCGTGCGCACGAATGTTTACGTACATATGTAAAACGAGCCATTTGAAGGGATCATAGTTTCTCATTCCTCTGTCCCTCGCCGAGCCTGGATGATAATACACCGTAAATGGTTCCTTCACCCGGGGGGTATGCCAAAAATGTTGTGAAGAGACGTTGCACCCTCATCCAACCCGACTCACCAGTCTGTTTTCCTCCAATGCTCCTCCCTCCCGCTTCATCCGAAACGGCACTTGGAATGTGTAAGTGATTCCCCAACGTTTGGATGAAATCCAGAAAGCAGCTGGAAATTTCAAGCAACAATCAAAAGACACTTAGAACAAGTGCGCTTTAATAACCAAATATTTGATGCCTTTCTCTTTCTTTTTTATTTTTGTCTTTCTTTTTTCCTTTTCCTGGTTTTTATATCCTCCATTTTCCTTTTCTTTTTCTTTCTCACCTTCTTCTCCCACGGTTTCACTCGTAGTTTTCTTTCTCTTGCTTACTATTTTGTTTTCTTGTCTTTCTTTTTTATTTATTTCTTTTTTCTTTACTTTCCTTTCTTTCTTTACTTTCTTTCTTTTCTTTACTTTCCTTTCTTTATTTCCTTTTTCCTTTCTTTTCCTTTTTCTTTCGTTCTTTCTTCAACATTCATTGCTCCTTTATTTCCTTCTTTTTTTCTTTCTCTGTTTTTCTCTATTTATATCTTTCTTTTCTTTCCCTATGTTTCATATTTTCTTTCTCTCTATTTTTTCTTCTTTTCTTTCATTCTTTTTTCACTACCTTTCTTCCTCCCTTTCTATTCTATTTTTCTTTTCTTTCTTTTCTTTCGTTTTCTAATTTTCTTCTTTCTTTAACACTTTTTAATTTAAATTCCTTTATTCTCTTTCATTTTCTTTTTTATTCCTATTTCATTCACATTTTTCTCTCGTCTTTACCTCCTTCTTTACTTTATCATTTTCATTCTTTTTCCATATCCTTCGTTTATTTGCCTTACCTTTCTTCTTTCAACTTCTTTTCAGACTATCACGCCCTTTTCTCCTTTTATCCGTTTTAATCTCTTCTTCATTTGTTCCAATGTTGCATTTATTCAAATCTTAATTTTCAATCGCCTCATTCTTTATTTTCCCAATTTTCTTCTTTCACATTTTTTTCTTGACCTTCTTTAATTTCACTGTCTAGATTATGGCATCCTTTCTTAATTTTACCTTTTTCTTATTTTTTTCTCTCGTTCTTCTAAATTCATTCGGATCTTCTTTCTATCTTCTGCTATTTTCTTTCTATCCGAAGAATTTATCTTCCTTACTATTCTTCGCCACTTAAGCGATCTACACCATTCTCCACAGGATTCGAGTTTTTAAAACTTTATTAATATGTTCAGATAAAATATTCGGATTCCAAACATTGTTTATTTTTTTTGATGAATAATATTTTCCTTCTTTTTTGTTTCATTTCACTCATTCTCTCTGCTCCATTTTCATTTACTTTTTTCTTTCTTGCCGATTTTTCTTCAACTTCTTTGTCCGGCATTGACTGAACAATTCCAAGACAAACCAGTGACGCTATTGGGAAATGACCACTGGAAAAGGTCCAGCGGGTTTTCTTGATAAACACACACACACACACACACACACACACACACACACATAAACAGAAGACGCTTGGATTTACTACTGCAAGAAATATTAATGTTGCTTGATGTTATGATCTTGTGTCACACTCCGTTCATATATGTATAGATATTTCATAAATTAATAAAATTTAGGTGAAATATTTTAATAAGCATGAGATAAAGGCACTGATCCTTACTCCATTGCATATTTCTAAAAGAAAATATTCTAATTTCCCTTACTCTCTCTCTCTCTCTCTCTCTCTCTCTCACGTACGTGCGCGATTTGACTCCCTATCTTTCTCTTTCTATCTCCCTCTTTCCCTATCTCTTACTCTCTACTTTTCTTTCTTTTTCTCACTTTCTTTTTTTCTACGTGTTTGACAGAAAATCTTTTTTGTCTGCAACTTAAAAGAATTGACATTAACATGGTCATGTGGGTGTGGAAGGGATTATTTAATCTAGATCACTGAATGTGAATATGTTGTAAGATAGTGTTGCGCCAACTTTCCAAGTGCGGAGGATCAACATGTATGCCATGAACTGCCGACTCAAAGGGCAGTACGAATGTAGGTAACCTCATCCATAGATATTAGTAGAATTTTGAATGTATAAATTTTGACTGAATAACATTCGCACTATGAGATTAATAGTCAACAGTGAATTAAGTGCATGGATAATGAAGGTTACTTTAAAAGATAAACATGGGTTATGGAAATATATTTTTGAATTATTTGTTTGCAGACTCATTGATATAGTTACGGATACATCAAAAAGAAACTCTTCAAAAGAAATAGCAGAAATGTATTAATTAAATCCATCATTGATGTATTAATACAATCTTGATTATTTATATGCTCAACCTAATATATATATAAATAAATACATACATATATATATATATATATATATATATATATATATATATATATATATATATATCATTAACAACGAATGACAAAGTCCTGTGATTAAGCTTTTTATTCAGTTTTTCTTGGATTCGTATAAGTGATTTCTTTTCTCGACATAAAGTGTGTAAAAATTGTTGAAATGTTCTATAAATCCAAGAGCGTTCAACTATTCTACAAGGATGATTTTTAGTTTTATTTTTAACTGAATGTGTAGATTTTTATATATTTTTCTACAATGATAAGAATGTTTTTGATTTTCCAAACACGGTCAGCACATTGTGGTCGTGTTCATAGTTGATGTTATTGAGTGTTTGCTTTTTTCTTTTTTTATTATTAGTGTTTCCATTATTTGGGGAAAAACATATCAGATGCACCCTCATTTCACTAAATAATATTCAAGAAATCACTTTAGCCTGAGAAGTAAACATTTAATGGAAAATCCGTAAAAGCCATTTATTAGTTTGTCAGATAAAATCGTTCGTTTTTCCTTTTATTAATCATCCATTTTTTTTAATCAGTCAATAATATAAAACGAACAAAATTTGTAACGGAAGAAAACAAATCTACAGTAATATATGTCAAAATTGAAAAAAAAAACGAAATTATCTGACAGCACACTATATTTGCATTTGTTTAACTGAATGTACTTGCATCTTCTTTTATATGTGTGTGTGTGTGTGTGTGTGTGTGCGAGTCTCCAGTTGGCATGACTGTCAGCTTCTCCTTATGACCCGGAGTGACAGTATCGTTTAAGGTCCCCCACCTATGGGTCAAATATCTCTATGAAAACCAGGTTGATGCTTAGCTAAATGGAAGAAATGTAAAGTCTAAAATGTGCGACTTCGATTGTATCCAATAATGTAGAAATGTTCTGCTTTCCCATTTTTTTTTGTTTTTGTTTAGGCGTGGGTGGGGGTAAATGTTATCTTTGTTCAAAGAGTGGAATCGGTCATGTTCAAAGCTTTCCCCCACTTTAACAAGGCTCACATCGCAGACATTGTTATACCATTTATAAGAAATCAAAAATGCGAATCTTTAAAACACAAAAACCGACCATTGCTAAAAAAAAGGAAACTCAATAGAAGTTAATAACCAAACGTGTGCGCAATGCAACGCGGTTTCTGACGGAGTGTAATGGGGTATATTTGTGAAAAGATTCTTTATTAAGCGTTGGGTATAAGTCGGAAACGAGAAAGCAGCTATCATATCGAGGCAGATAGATAGATCTGAACAGACTTAGATAGATAGATAGATAGATAGATAGATAGATAGATAGATAGATAGATAGATAGATATTGGCCGTCACGAAAGCAAAAACTTATATATATATATATATATATATATATATATATATAAGACATATTTTAGAAAAAACTAAGATAGATTTATTGAAACAGATTTTGATAGATAATGAACAGACTGAGATAGATACATAGATACATAGATAAATAATGAACAGATAGATAGATAGATAGATAGATAGATAGATAGATAGATAGGGGGGAGAAAGGAGGGGGAGAGGGAGATAACTTCGACACAAGGATCCTACTCAAGAGCGGACAACAAACTAGCCAATGCTCTGCTATAGGTCCTCTCTCTCTCTCTCTCTCTCTCTCTATCTATCTATCTATCTATCTATCTCTCATACACACACATAATCTATCTTTATTTCACTATTACTTACTCGTTTCCCGTATCATCATCTCTGTCTCTTTCAGTAATTATCTGTATCTTTCACGATCTTTCTCTCGCTTTCACTCTCTCTCTCTCACTCGCTTTCTATCTATCTATCTATCTATCTATCTATCTATCTATCTATCTATCTATCGCTTATTCTCTATATATCTATCTCTACATTCTTCGTCTCTCTCTCTCTCTCTCTCTCTCTCTCTCTCTCAGTTTTACCGTATGTTTTTCTCTGCCTGCTCGGATACCCGTGTCTTTATATCTCTCTCGCTTTGTGTATTTCTATCCCTCTCTCTCTCTTTCTGCACACACACACACACACGCACGCACACTTATATATCAGTGTCTGCCCGCATCTTTTAGGCACTGTCTGTCCATCTCTCTCTTTCTTTATCTCTCTCTCTCTTTCTTTCTTTGTATTACGTTGTATCTCTATTTCTCCCACAAGTCTGTTGCGAGCAGATATCAATATACATTAGTGCATCTCACTATGTCTTTCTTTCCATCTCTCTTTCACTCATGTTCACACACACGCACACACACATACAAACGCACACACGCTTAATGTGTGGGCTGCGGCGGTGTGGTGCTCCGGAACTTGTGACAATGCAAGTCCCATTAAAACGAAATGAAGTCACGTTGATTCCCGGGATGAATTATGACTTTGACACGACAGCCTATCCATCTTGTTTGTTACCCGTCGCTGTCTCCCGCTCTCCCTCTCTGCCTTCCTATCCTCTCTCTCTCTCTCTCTCTCTCACACACACACACACACACACACACACACACACACATACGCATACCCCTCCCCGGACGATGGGGTGTGGTATGAAGACGGGGTAAGGGCATGACGGTCGCATCCCGTATTCCTTTATTGCATTAGCCTGCCACGTGCACAACGTCATTGCCTTTTTCAATAACCGACAAGCGATGGCCAAAACCTGGCAGCGCGCCTGCTTTGTTGGTAATCGATTACCGCCCGCTTCCACCCCCTCAGACATCCTCGCGCCGTAACCTCCTCCCTCCTGCCCCCGAACAGATACTCCCAACCCAACTCACGAACGTTTCCCGCGGAAAAATTATCATAAACGATGCTTCATTTGTTTGCTTGTTTATTGACTTGTGTTCTTGGTTTCTCGTGTAAAGGCGGGAAGAAGAAGAAGAAGAAGAAGAAGAAGAAGAAGAAGAAGAAGAAGAAGAAGAAGAAGAAGAAGAAAGACGTAAAAGAAGGAAGAAGGCGAAGGAGGAGAAAGAAAAAGCAGGATGAAGAAAAATGGTAAGAAGAAAAAGATGAAGCAGAAGGAAGAAAAGGAAAAGAAAGGAGAGGAGGGGCAGTAAGAAGGAGGAGGAGAAGGAAGAAAGAGGAGAAGTAAGGAGGAGAAGAAAGAAGAAAGAGAAGTAAGGAGGAGGAGAAGGAAGAAAAAAAGGAAGAAGAAGAAGAATGGGAGGAGGAGGAAAAGGAAGAAGAAATCTGATTCCATCAATAAACCCATTATTAGTCTGAAGATGTTTCTTTTTGGAACGGAACGCGTCACAATCTAATCATTCACTATTTTATACCATATATATACATATATATATATATATAGAGAGAGAGAGAGAGAGAAAGAAAGAAAGAAAGAGAGAGAAAAAAGAGCGAGAGGAAGAGAGAGAAAGAGAGAGAGAGAGAAAGAGAGAGAGAGAGGAAGAGAGGGATCTTTTACGAAACAACACACTTACTGCATTAGTCGTCCATTGTAATAAGTCTTACCATAATTTCAACTTAACGCAGTTTTAAGTAAAAAGAGAATAGATAGTTAACTAATTTCTTTCTAAATATGTCCAGGATCATACAGCAAATGACTTTTCTTGGCAAAATTACTACAATTATAACGTTCGAGATTTACAAAAGAAGATAAACCAAAAACAAAAGCAGTAAGAAGATGAATGGGGTCTGCTATATTGTGCTTCTAGAAAAAAATTGGAGCCAGAAATTTACAATTTAAATTTAATATTAAGAGTCCCTACATCTTTAATGTATCTCTCGATCTTTCATTATGACCGATGTTTGCTGTATCTCTTTACTTCCCTTTATATATATATATATATATGATTCTATCATTACATATATTATTCAATCTGAAGAAGTCCTTTCGAAGATGTCACACAGGATTTTTTACATTTTCTCCTTCAATTACACACCAGACAGCGTAATATATGTAAAGCGTATATTAGCGCCATTTTTCATTTAACCGAGCTTATTGTAAAACTTCAAAAAAAGGTTAATTTAATAACTCCCGATATTTTTTTTTATTTCCCAGCATGATAATGGGTGCTCGCTTCCCCAAGGTGCCAAAATAATCTGTACCTATCTCTGTTCGAACACTTTCTATCATCATTGATCATTTTCAAGAACATGAATTATATGTTATTGTTCTGAAATTTAAGAAAATTGATTTTTTCCATGAGACTATTCAATGTTAGTATATTAACTGTTTAAATCATGTTGGTGACAACATTTCCGGACCGCTTACAACAAATGTAAAGCCTCTTGCGGTATTATGTGTTGATTGAACGTGTTTTTTAATGGTGGAATGGATTTAATTCACCAGTTTCTAAGCTGAAAGATATTAGATTTATTGTAGGATTTTAGACTACACGGCTCCCAGTTAAAAACTGTGCCATGCTAGGGATAAGATTAGCAGTGCGGTGTTTATTGATACTTTTCCCAAGGGCATTAGTGTTGTAGAAATAGTCTCAGTTTCCAGTGAATTTCGAAGTTAAATTCCTATTAATCTATGTGCGTATAATTGAATACCTTGAAGCATGCACATATATTGTGTGTGTGCGTGTGTGTGCGAGTGTGTTTGTGCGTGTGTGTGTGTGTGTGTGTGTGTGTGTGTGTGTGTGTGTGTGTGTGTGTGTGTGTGTGTGTGTGTGTGTGTGTTTCCGTGCGTGTACGATATTTGTCCGGAAGGTGTAGCTATTTAATACCAATGAAAAATATCCTCCCTAACATAGTTTTATTTTAGATTGTCTCTTTTGGGATTTCACAGAAATATCAAGTTATCTCTTCTAATTTTCAGTCAAAAAAATTTCAATTTCGGGATCACCATCAGCAGCCACGTCATGTTCTCCTTTATCATTAGAATAATGTGTGTGTGTGTGTGTGAGTGTGTCCGTGAACCTGATTGAAAGAAAGAAAGAAAGAAAGAAAGAAAGAAAGAAAGAAAGAAAGAAAGAAAGAAATACTGGTTTGCACTAATATGTATTGATATGCGTTCGCAGCAGATGCGTGAGAAAGAAATACAGAATGATGCAAAGAGAGAGAGGGGGATAAGGAAATACAGAGGTAGATACGGACAGAAACAGAGAATGATATACAGTTAGAGAGAGAGAGAAAGTGATTAGGAATTACAGAGAGAGGGATATATTTATAGACATAACGAGAAGTGCGGGCAGAAACAGTGAAAAATATACGGACATACACCAAGAGAGAGAGAGAGAAAGAGAGATATGGATAGACTCAAAGAATGAGATAAACCAACGGAGAATATCTGTTTACGCATGCTCACTAAGGTACCATCTGAATGGTCGTAAAGTTACATCAAAGCCGCGCAACAAGTTCCCGAGACATTCAAAATGGCTGGATACGCTATGGACAGACTTTGGGCTAAACTATGTGTACATGATCAAATAGTTTTAATCATATACTTAAATATACAAAAATATACTTGCAAGTCTATATTAGCCTGTGTGTGTGTGTGTGTGTGTGTGCAATTGAGTATACGCGCATGAAAAGACAGAGTCCTACCAATTCCTTAAAATTTCACACAACGTAATCATGTCTTTGCTGGCCTTTCAAAACTCCAGTTTTTACTTTCGACAAGCGAGCGTCCAGCATTTTCATTGGTTGTTCAGCTTCTCGTGCCTTTTTTTTTCCGTTTCGCTTCTGGAATCTCGTTTTTTTCCCTCTTCTTTTTTTTTTCCTTTCCCGCGAGACTCCATTATTTCAACGAACAAATCTTGAAGAGACATTTGCATTATTCTTCTCTTTCCATTTCTTTTTTCATCTTTCTTTCTATTTTAAATCAAGATATTTTTTTATTTTATGAATAGCCATGAATTCCATGCATGTCGTAATACACTTCCAAAACACACACAATCATATTCCTACGTAAAATATACAAGGATAAACACATTCGAATGAAACGCTATACCATACTCACGCATATATATTGAATGCCAGCCGAATAGCAATAGTTAGCAAGCTCGTCTCCGAAACTCTTCCTTATTACTTGTGGAGTCAGTCTCTTTTACCAATGCCGACCCAAATATACACTCTGGTTTATACAAGACTGTGTTAAACTATTGGCAACGACGTTAGTGTCCTTAGCTTATGAAAAGAATATTTTACATGTTATTGCAATTGCGCCTTCTGTTCATGTGGATGCATTTATAAAAGTGAAGCACATTTATGCACAAGAATACCTTTCTACAGTTATTTTAACAACTTACAACAAAATTAAAAAAAACAAATATGTCCAAAACTAATACTAGGTTGGGTGGTTGATTTTGTTTAGCGGCACATCAACACCTCTGTGGGTTATTTAATGCTGGAATCTAAATATTTTGATCATAATTTTATGGCTCAACTAAATATATTTTGAACGTAATTGTATACCTTCAACTACAGATAAAATGTATTTAGGTATAAAATACACTGTTGGTAATTTTACTATAAATATGTATTGTTGGATATCCGTCTACTAGTGCGGCTAGCCAATCCCTATTGCAGACGCTTGCTCAGGCGCATTTTTGTTTATGCCCACAGAGACCACCTGTGTTTTATACCGCAACTATGCTGAGCAAACCTTAGTTACAGTTCCTGATAAAGAGCGTGTTTTCTAACGTGATCAACAATTTGAACAAAGCCAGCACACTCAAGCACTCGGCCACGATGACTTGTGACTTCGTGCTAGCACAGCTATCGACGGCCCAGTTTCACTCACAAGGTTTGGGTCAACCCGTGGTATGGTTTTCAAGCACTTTCCAATAGCGCCGCCTACCATTCCGATAATATTAGGAAGTCTCCTTCCTGACAAATCGACCATGGGGACATTCGAACCCGGGTCTCTTGGTCAGAATGATAATGTTCTAACTATTCGGCTACGCGTATTGTCGATATTTTTTTTTTAAATAAAAATATATTACTACTATTATTACTATAAAATGTATTTCTTACTTTTATAGTATTTGGGGGGGGGTTCACTATTGCCCATAGCTGGGGCCCTAACAAGTGCTGTTAGGGTCCCAGCAATTAAAAGATGTTTCCACGCCCCTCAAAATGTATAATCTCTCGATCTTGCTACCGGGTGTAGTTTATAGTCATACCCAGGACCAACTAATACTAGAAGAAAAGTATAAACAGGAAAATTATGGTTTTTCTCTGAATTTCTAGATGAAATCATTATTTACACTATTTATTTTCGGACAGTTGTCCTCACCTTTGTTGTTATCACAACGTTTCAGCCGCTAGACAACATATCTCTAAATATGAAGCGTAGAACAGTCTACCCACGTAGATTAAATAAAGGGTTCAGTTCAGAATTTCCTGTAGGTCACTTGAGGAAGGCCGGAGAGCACAACAGCTGTAACGTGATAACAACAACAAAGATGAGAACAATAGTCTGCATATAAATAGTCTCAAATAATGATAACTCCTCATCCCAGAAAGTAATTATGTCTTTGATTGATATGAACTATAAGTCAACCAACCAAGACAAAACAGCGATCAACCCCAAATGGCGACAATCTGTTTTATGCATGAACTCAATCTTCAGGCAATGAAGTTTACGCTTAAGCATGAATCACACTGAAAGAAGAACTTTTGAAAGAGTCTATTGAATTGGATCCACCTCAAAGCACCAAACATTTTTTCGCAAAATCTTAATGTGTCATGTTCAAATGTTCCCAAACATCTCATGCGAATTGGGAAAACGTGCAAAGAGAGAATTTGCTTTCCTCGTCAGGTTCTGTTTATGAACCAAACACGAAATTCAACCATCTGCAGTAGTTTTTTTCTTATTTTTATCGGGAATGTTAACCTTTCATTTTTGCATCGCATTGTTACAGGTGATGAAAAATGAGTTTAGCCTGTCAACAAAAAATGAAAAGAAAGAGATTATCACAAAATTAGAAATCAGCACCAACACTAAAAACCAGGATTCCATTCAAAGAAGTCGCTGCTTTTTATTAGAATATGAAATCTGCTCCTTGAACATCGAAGGATGTTAACTGTAGATTTTATTTTATTTGATTGATTTGCTTTTTTACGTTTTATCAACACTTTTGCAAGTTAATTAAAACCAAAAAACATTTTTAAATTGTAAGAACTATTTGCAGATAATAATGATTTACTGATACAAATCCTACTAATTAACCCATAGAGAGGGTGTGTGTTGTTTTCGATCACAATAGGAATGACTACAAAACATTTTCCGCTCCCCATTTTATAGGCAGAAGTATTCAGATGCATGCCGGGATTTCTTCCTAGCCAATAAAATAGACCGGTTCTCGGTTTCACCTGACTCAGTCCCGGTCTGTCTTGTCTTGAAGTCAGAACGCTACGGTCGCTTGTATGCTTTGCCATATTACTATTATTTCGCTTTATTACTGTTAGTTTGCTTTACATACAGTATTTGCCTGGTTTGTATTAATTTTTTAACCATGTCTACTCACTCCACTGTGAGAAGAGTTGCATTTATATTTTTCCTCCAAGGGTATTTCTGCGTAAGTGAATATTATGGACATAACTGGAATTGGAACTCGACTCTTTAATTTCCAAGTCTAAGCCATTATCCATTGCACCACCTACACATCTAAGCTTAAAGTAGCTGTTATTTGTAAGCGGTTACCCCCATCTAGGTACTGACCAGGCTCAATATTGCTTATATTCGGTGATCGTACGAGAACAGGGGTTTCAACATGGTATGGTCATCCGCCTTCATTATTACCAGCACCTTGATCGAGCAAATGAAGTATTACGTAAAAAGGCAAGGGCACACAACTCTGCAAAACAAACCCAAGAAAAAAAAGTAAGATTGTTAAACTTGGAGGTTTTTCCCACATCCTCCATACTCATCAAATCTGGCACCGACAGATTTACATATTTCGATCGCAAGGTAAAACTCACATTTGTTTTTATATTTGCTCTGGTAAAGCGTAATTAATTACCGAACACCTTAATATGTTTACTAACCACATAACTACCTCTGTTTTTCAGAAAATCTTCACGACACAATTATCTTTGGAATTATTTAAAATAATAAAATATCGTGTGAGTATTTTCGGTTAGCAGTATTTAAAGAGTGGGGTGAAAGGAAGAGATGGGGGATGAAAAGAAAAAATAGAGTGCGTCTAAGTCTTAATAAAAAGTGTAAGAGTCACTGAATGAAGAACACTCGAGCTATTGTTCTCACACACATGAGCACACATTGCCAGCTGACAACAGCTATTTGCAGCTTCTTCCCTGATGACCGTGGCTATTTTTTTTTCTACCATGTCTTGCCAACAAAATCCTGTATCCATTTTTCTGTCCAGTCTTCTCGTATTGTATTTGCTGTCCATCTAATCAACCAACCTTTTGCTTCATCTTTTATCCTTTCTTCTTGCAATGTACTCCGACCACCTATTTTTTTTTTATTTCTATTCACTTCTATGATATCTTTTGTCTTCTGATCTGTTCCCTGTAGATCCCCGTATTCTTAGCATATTTCATAGTTGGCATTATTAATTTATTACACTTTACATTTGAATTATGTTGGGAAAGTACTTTTCATTTCTCTCGACTTTCCAAACAAGCATTACACATTGATTTATTTCAATTTCAGGATTTCCATCAATTTAATGGTCTGCGCGAATTAGTTGTATTCCTGAATCTCTTCCAGATCTTCATACTTTATTCATCTTATCGTCCTCGGAATGTTACAACTGGACATTACTTTTTGGTTATTTCTGTTCATTTTAACCTGCACTGAGACTTTTCAGTTCGTTTATCATTTCTTGTATTTCATCCAATGATTCTGATATTAGTAAAATGTCGCCAACAAATCATAGCTAAGGATCGGAAGCTCATGAAGAATTGATAGAAAGTTTTTATATATATATATATATATATATATATATATATATATATATATATATATATATTCCAGGATCATTTCTAACTTATGCAAGATGATCTTCGCCTTCTCTAACCTTCTAACTTTCTCTCCTTCAGTGACAAGGTGATTCACAGGTTTCACGTACGATTTCAATTTCAAGTCTTTTTTCATTGCTCTTTGGACTGTCATATCTGAAACCCCTCTCTCACGTGCCAAACGTCTGGTGCAATGTTTTGGATATTTTCTAATTGATCTCTTTATCTCTAAGTTGAAATGATGATCCTTCTTCCTCTTGTGACCTCCTGATCCAGTTTTCCTCTCTAATTGCTCCCTCTTTTTTTAAACTTATTCACCGTTCTCCTGATGGTTTTTGAATGGATATTGAAGATGGAAGCCAGAGTATGAATGTTGGTATCACGGCTCAAGGCCTGAATGATCTTTTTCCTCTCACCATTGCTCATTTGAGAAGACAGTAGGGTTGACACAAAAGGATTTTAACCTGTTTTCTTTCTAGCTGAATAACTCATAGGATTTTTCAGTGATTCTTACGACAAATGGTGTCAAAACGTCTTATCTGACCCCCCCCCCTACACCAAAAAAAGAAAGTCAATATGTTCAGTGCTTTTCTTAGATATTAAACCATTTATGAAATGAACAATTCTGCTGTTCCACCTGGTATATTTTCAATGATAAAACTTTGATTATTCGAGAATTATGAAATCTTCTCTGACAAAAGTACATCATAAAACGTGTTTCTTAGAATAGGAGACTTTTTATCAAACAACCGTCTAACACACACACACACGCACAAACACACACACACACACACATATATATATATATATATATATATAAAATATGTATATATGGAGAGGGAATATATGTATGCGTACGTATGCTGACAAAAACACAAAAAATGGAAATAGATCTAAGAACACACAGGGGTCATTAAAATATAAGAATATAGATATCTTTCTCAGCCTTTCTCGGACCAATTTTAATTGTTTTATTGGCCTTCACGCAGAATTCTTTTACTGCCAGTTCAAGAAAGACATTTGTGTCACTAACACAAAAAAATAATAATATTTAATAATATGTAGAAATATCCACTCTTTGCCTGCTGAAGATCGCGAGACTGGAAACACGTGTAGCAAAATTATGGAAAATAAAGCATAATATATATATATATATATATTTTAAATCCACATTACAAACAAAAACTTTGCAGTTTCTCTCTTCTTTTTATTATATACACTTTTCTATAGTTGGAACTACTATAACCTCTTCCCTTGATATATATATATATATATATATATATATATATATATATATATATATATATATATAAAACAATCTATTGAAATTTTAATCCTGCAATATTATTAAACTATATTTAGTGGATACACGTGTTTATGTAGGCATCCTCATTTTTTAAAGTTAAATTGATATCTATAGACCTGGGAAAGTCTTATTAAAATAATGTGCCTGTCGGTCTGAATCGAATCTTGGGAAACTACCTTTAAGATAGGTTGGTATAAACCGCTTACCTACGAGAGATTACACAGCAAAGTTTTCACAGGATAAAGGAAATTCAGGTTTCATCTTTACCAAGGGGTACATTTCCTTAGAATACTTTCTAGTACCCAGGCCGATAGATGTCAATTTCACTTTAAAAATATAAGGATATCTATTCAAATATTCAAATACGAGAATATTCAATATTCAGTATTCAAATATTCAATATTAAATATTAAATGTTCACTGGTTAATATTCAAATACGTGAGCTCACTGTATATAACGTTTATTTCCAATAAGCAAAATACTTTGCTGCATTAAATGAGTTTTTTAATCGTTGATTTTAGCCATATTTACAACGTAATGTTCTTTATTAAAAATCTGATTAGCTGGCTTAAAATTCAATCAATCTGATTTTAAACAAATATTACTTACAAAAGTTTAAAGTAATATTTGTTTTTAAAATATCACAGCAAAACATTTTTAACACTCAAGTGGGTGTTTTTATGTGTTGACAGCTCTATTGACAGCCTGATGCTTGAGCAGTTTAAATAATTCTTTTAACTACCCAGTAATTTTAAGATTTTAGGAAATATTCTAAGTAATCTAATGATACATTGAATTTTAGGTACTTTGGTTTAAATTTACTATAGTTAGCGCTCTTATTTTCTGATAATGTCGTGAATGAAAATCTGTATTTACAAATGTGGTCATTTGTATGGGCATAAAATAAATTCAAAATTCTTTATGGATTGTAACAAGATTTACCATTTATGATTTGTAAATATCGTTTTTACTGAATAACAGTATTAGCTAACCGGTACAAATTAATAGAGAATTTTAACAGATTTCACATTTTATAAGTTATTCTAATATTTTTTTTATTTCTTAATGTTTTTTCTTAAACCAGTTGTGTCCATATTATATCTTATTCATAAAAGCAATTAAAGTTTTTCTAATTAAATAATGTTTTAGTTTTACTTCGCTTTTTATCTTACGATTCAGAGCAGATTTTTGGTAACTAGGAGTCCTTTTCTAGAAAAAGTGATGATTTAAATTCTCCGAAGACTTCTAACTAATATAATCATTAAGATCTACAAAAATGAAAGTAACAGATGTAAAACAAAAATTTTACCAAGATTTTCTAAAAAAAAAGAAACACTTCTAAAAATATTTTTTTTTTTATTCATTTCTGAATAACTATCGAATTTTTCATAAAAATCCGACAATTATTTGATTTTTGCAAGAATTTCCAAATGTATGTGTTTTCACTGGAAAAAGACGCTAAAATTTCTCATACCAATTTATGGTCACACGCTGACGCAAGAAAAAAAATTAACCAAAATTTCGAAATTTCTAAAAAAAATTAAAAAGTATAATTTAATAATGAAAAATCTTTGGTTTGTCCTGTTAATAACAACATAAAGATTTTGATGCTAAAAATTGTTTTTATTAAGTTTCATGTATTTTCCCATGTATGCTCATTTTTTTGCGAATTTTTAAAGGTATATATATATATATATATATATATATATATATATATTATTCAGATTTTAACTTATGAGCTGAGAAGTGCTACTTGTAGAAAGAATTGAACCGATGCTCTTGCGATCTAAATTGTATGGCTTCAAGATCAATCCATTGTCGGTGTCAATGTATGAAACATTAACAAAGCCTTTTTGACCAGTGACATTTTGAGTAGCATGGGACTGATCAACAAATACTTCTTCTTCTTCTTCTTCTTCTTCTTCTTCTTTCTTCTTCTTCTTCTATCAAAGACGAAGAATTAGAAGAGAACAGTAAAGGAGCATTGGGTGAAGGAGGAGAAGAAGAAGAAGAAGAAAAAGAAGAGGGTGGGGAATCGCTTGGCGAAAAGGCAGCGGAAGACGTAGGTTCAGAATGACAAGGAGAGAAAGGCGGGGGAGAAGGAAAGGGAGAAGAAAAAGAAGGTAAAATGTCGGGATCAGGAAACAATAAATGAGAAGAGGAATGAGTATGAGGAAGATGAAGAGGTGGAGAAGGAGACTGGGGAAAAGAAGAGGAAGAAAAGAGCAGATGATGACCGTCTGTGTTGGTCTTATTGCCTCTGCAATCTTTACCCGCCTCGTCTTTTAGCCGTCTATCCGGCGCCAATCCTGCTTTCAGGATGATATGTTGTTGACCATCTGTACCACCTAAGGCTTCCAACTTTGTGGCCAGTTGACCAAATCTAGGCCGATCCTCTGCAATCGTTCGCCAACAGGTGAGCATCAGATCGTATCTGGAAAAGAAATAAAACGTCTTAGAAAATAGGACAAGAGAATCCACCATGGACGTCAAAACTGTCACCCGTACGGTACAAAATGACATGGATTGGGGGCATTTCATGTTTTGGCATTTTGTAAATATTAGCATCATTTGTATTGCATAGAATATGTAAAAAGGTCAAAATAAATAGATATGATTTTCGAAGCGCAGCTTAGATGTGGCCAAAAGCCAAAGACATGGGGCATCCAGTGAGGATTGAACTCACTACTCAGTCGTTATTGTTCTAGCGAGACAAACGTGCCAACCACTACACCACGCTGAGGTGCTCGTTCTATATCTAAGCGGAGCTTAGATGTGGCACAAGGCCAAAATAGTGTGACACCCAATGATGATCGAACTTAGTAATCAGTCGTAATTGACCTAATGAGACCAGCTTGTTTAACACGACGAGTTGCCCGAAAACACACACACACACACACATACATACACACACACACACACACATATATATATATATGCAAGCGTGAATGTTTTGGGGCACACACACACACACACACACACACACACACACATATATATATATATATACCTGATATTGTGCACTTAAACCCATAAATAAAGCATATATATATACATATATATGTATATATTGTAATTTAAAAGACCATTTAAATTTATAAGACACATATATATATATATATATATATATATATATATATATATATATATATATATATATATATTATAATTTTTTGTTTAAAAATATGATTCCTTCTCTACATAAGAGTTCTCATGTTTAAAAACGAGAGACGAAATATCCAAATAATTATTAAAATTCTCTCTCTCTCTCTCTCTCTATCTATATATATATATATATATATATATATATATATATATATTCAAAAATTCAAAAATTTGCTTGAAAATGAAACAGTACTGGGGATTTTAATTTAATTCTGTAATTAAATTTTAAGTTGTAGTTTCTGTTTTTGAAATATGGTAATTCCTGTGTAGCGATGAGACCATATTTTAATTTAGAAAATTTATAATATTTATGCCCTGCAGAATTTATTGAGCACCGTTTTTTAAAAATAAAATAATTAATAAGAACACTGGATTATAAATCTTACTGTTCTTTTCTTCATTTTAATTATTATATATATATATATATATATATATATATATATATATATATATATATATATGAAATTGAAGTCAGCACATAGAGGCGACAAGTTTTTTTTCATCCTAGACGCAATCGTCAGGCCTGACGATTGCGTTTAGCCTGTCGCCTGTAAATGTTGACTTCAATGTTCACTTTTATATTTACACACGCCCTATCTCTGATATTGAGCACATTTTATCCCATAAATATAGCACACCTTAAGACTATATTTCTTCATATATATATATATATATATATATATATATATATATATATATATATATACTGGACTCTCCTGTCGCTTTCGACTTATGAGTATCAAGTAACTCAGTTCCTAGAAACCGACAACCATACCACCTGCACAAATTATTTGATTAATAATAATGAATGCTTTTTGAAGAGACATGGTGTACCGTGTGTAGCACAAGGTCCCCAAACGACCATACGCAGGTTTTGAATTCAGAGTTGTCCTTGTCCTAGACCATTTACAATCCAAGGCTATCAAACCCAGTCGGTTCTGTTATTTACCCATAGCTGGGGGGAGAAGAAGAGGAATCATACCTTTCCCAAGGATATTAACACGTAATACTGGAATTCCTCAAACTCAGCTGCTATCCGTCTATATTTCTGAGATGAGGTATTATGTACATTATTTACATTATTCGGACTATTGTCCTCATCTTTGTCGCCATATTTATCACAACGTTTCGGCCATTGTACGCTCTGGCCTTCTTCTTCAGGTGGTTGGAATTTCGAACTGAACCCTTTATTTCGCTCACTATATATAATCAAAATATTGAGAAATGCAGTTCTATACTCCAAAACTTTTCCAACTGTGGGAGCGACTACTTTCCATCATATGCAAACTCAGATTAAAATTGCAGAAATGAAAAAAACCTAAAGTAACACCTAAACTACAATATTTCATATTCCAAGATGGCTCAGTTTGAAAAAAAAAATGCTGATCCAGTCAAGTGCAAATATAAGAGCTTAGAATAGGTCAGGAATTCAAAGTGGAACCACTTAAAAGAAGTTTTTGTAACATTGGCCAAGGAGATCATACTAAGGAAAGCGAGACAAGAAAAAAAAGAAAAAGAAAAGTATAATAGATGAAATTTTCGAGCTGACGAAAAAGAGACTGCAAACAATACCAAGAAATGGCACTGAATATAGATTATGAAACAAAAAAAACATTAGATACAAATGCAGACAGGCAAAAGATGAATATTTCAGAGTTAACTGTTCTGAGATAAAGCAAAAAAATAATGTATAACAGATATCACCGACAGCAATAAAATGATAAAAGAAATAATAGGACTAAGACTTGCTCTTCAATAGATGCATATAATCTTTTTTAAAAAATGAACTCCTTATAATGGACGAGAAGAAAATACCTTTAAAATAGACCTTATACATCGGTGAATTCTTCGTCGGCAGAAAGGATAAATCTATAATACATGTTAAGAAATGCAATACTAAAGTCTCAGGTAAGCTTGGCACCGACTAAGATGAACAGGGACAAAAAAGGAACATCAGACGGGATTGTAATAGAGATGCTACCAGTCTAAAATGATTTATGGGTCGACACGATTGGGGAAATATATGACAATGGGACAGTGTACTAAATTGATTTAAATTCATAGAGATATCTAATAAGCGAGGTGCAAAAGGATGCGAGCTCAATCAGACAATCAGTGTAATGAGTAACATAACTGAACCTCAGGTTCTGATGAATAGAAAGAGTAGAATAATTCGACCGGAAATAGAGCAAGAACAGTTTAACTTTGGTCAAAGCAACGGAACAAGAAATGCTATCTTTCTGATCAGAGTACGCAATAGAAATACAAAATGATCTATAACGCTATTTCATAGATTATTCAATAGCATTTGGTAAGAACGACACAAAGATTTATTTGATTGATGAAAACGGAAGTCATGATGAAAACGGAAGTCATGATGGAAACAGAAATTGATGTTGGAGAATAAGCGTCGTTATTTTTTAATAAACATCGATAATGAAGAGGTTTTTTCGACTATGCAAAGCAAAACAATAACCCTGCTGGAGGGCTGATTCTGCATGAGTAACCAGAAAGCGTCTTTTGTAAACAGCTGCACGATGTTTTTGTTTTCTTTTATTGTCGTTGGGTTAAACAGCTTGCCGTTTGCGTGAGTGCATGCTGTGTCTGTCTTCCATTTTTTCTGTTTTGTCCTTGCGAGAAAGAATAATGAAAAATGTGTGTGAGCAACCTCACAACAGTTGATACAATTTACGATTGAGAATGCTTTGAATAATTCACTTCTGACTTGACTTTATCAAGCAGCTCCTTGTGAAATATTATGGTGAGATATTTAGGTGGGCAACCCAAATTTGCGTTGGTTTTCCAGAGACTTGAAGTGCTTATCGTATCAAACACCTTTGTCAGGTCGACAAAGGTGACATAGAGCCCTTTGCTTGTTTTTTGGGGGTTTTTTTCGTGGCATTTTTCTTGAATCAGATTTAAAGCATATACCATGTCAGTCGTGTTGCAGATTACTCTTAAACAGTATTAGCCTGAAGCGAGATAATCCTCAGAGATTTCAATTGTTCTTCCACTTCTTTATGTACCGTCCCTTCCGGACGTTGACGATCATGGCTCTCAACAATTTCCTATCTTTTGTAGTTATATATATATTAATGCATGTTTCATTAAATAATATAGACAAGTTTTGTCTATTTATTTTAAGTAAGTTCCTTTCATATTGTCTGATAAGCTTAATCGCATTATCGTTGAAAGACGAAAGGAAAACACCATATTGATACATGTTTAAATCCAATCTCAGCTTTCGGCTTACACAAGCCATTATCAAAGATGACAATTTCAATAAATCAAACAACACACGGACGAAACAACAATGATAGTTCGCCCTTGCTGCATGAAAATTTCCAGTAACGACCAACTCGTATATACGAGACGCGGAAGCGAAAATCGCGTCGCAGCTCGTGACGTCACACATGACAACGCGAAAGTGAAAAACGAGAAGTAATAAGTATGGGAAGCTATTGATATAATGAAACATGCATTAATGAAAAATTGCTGCCTAAATATACACAATATATATATATATATATATATATGTGTGTGTGTGTGTGTGTGTGTGTGTGTGTGTGTGTGTGTGTGTGTGTGTGTGTGTGTGTGTGTGCATGTTAGTACCGATACCTAGTGTTTCCTGGGGCAATTAGGTTCAAATTTAATTCCACATAAGACACGCTGATTAAAAGATTTTTTTACCCGAAATAAAAAATGATATGAAAAAATATTTAATCCCTTTGTAAATAAAAAATTGTTACTGAAAAATAAGCTAATGCATAAAACAAATATGCACTTTTGATAGAGCTTCTATCTTTTAATAAACTTGTCTTTCTTTTATTTCACACATATATATATATATATATATATATATATATATATATATATATATATATATATATATATATATATATATATATATATATATATATATATATATATATATATATGATGTTTTTTTTAATGCAACATTTTATTACTTCAAACGTAATTATGGTGTATACTAGTATTTGAAATAAACGTCGTATTTTTATTTCTACTTTTAAACAGTGTGTATTACGACTATCCGGCCTTTGTACTCGAGAAATCTGACCAAATTAAATGTGCTCTCCGACAGGGATCAAACCTGCGTCCTCCTTTATAGGAAAAGACATCTTTTGATCTGGGCTGCTATATTGTCCGATGTCAGTGGGCGTCAAAATTATATCCTTGTTTTCTTACAAAGACAAAATGGAGTCTCGATCGTCTGTGATACTGTTGTAGAGTAGTTTTCACAGTGGAGGCTTGTATTTCGCTAAGTCGGTCCTAAAAGGGTCCGACGTACAAAAACGTTAGGAACTTGCAATAATAATAGTTAATGACACAGCAATACTTCAATGTCCGACATCGACTGACTCACTCAACTCCACTGAACTCAACTGGCGACCGCTACTACTACTACTTATTATGTGTGGGAGAGTCTATTAATAATAGAATAGGTACGTTCAGGTATAACAGATAATCTATGTCGCCGAGCAATAATGTACGCCGGATTAAACGGTAATTTCGCCTAGAAAAGAGGACGCAAGTTCGATCCGTTCCAAAGACAATAGTTTCCTTAAGATTTCATGCCGATAAACATAATACACACTATTTAAAAATAAAATTAACGCGTCTATTTCAAATACGACTATCCACTATATTAACGTTTGAAATAATAATAATGATATATATATAAACTAAAATATTTTCGACCATCACTTTGCACTTTGTGTTAAAAAATTGAGATTAGGTATAATGAACACAATGAGCACAATGACAATAGACACACAAAATATTAATATCAACTTTTAAACAGTTTGATCTCAAGATGCCCATGATTTATTTTCTATGTCATAATTAAAAATTAAATTATATATTTTTTTTTCCAGTTTTGTGACCCGATTTTTATTTTACGATCATTCAGTTGCTTCTCCAAACATCTTCATTTTTTATCATAACCCTGGCAAGATATTTTTTATCATAACCCTGGCAAGATATTTTTTCAAGTTAACTAGCAACAGATTGCAAAATCAAGAATGTTCATGGATTTTCTAAAAACTTAATGAAACATGAAAAAAATATTATCAAAGTTTTGAAAAGATCATTCCATTTTCTTTCATCCACTTTAATTCATTTTTTTTTCTTCTAATCAATAAATCGCTAGGAATATTGACGGATTTCCAAAAACATTAGGCTCGGAATAAACTCTACTACTAATAGGAATCACACAACTACATCTGAAAGATACAACCATGATAGTGAATAAACAACACTTCACAACAAACCCCTTGAATTTGGCTAAAAACTCTATGGACAATCGACACAACGGACATCACAAAAATAAAAATAAAACATAAGAAGTAAACATTTTAAAAAATGTTTCCCGGAAGTACACTATGACAGGAAGTCCCCAAAGGAGATAGACATTCCTAGTTGATATGAAATTATCACCAGAAACTTTCCTGTTAATAATAATTCCATTTATAACTCTCGAAACATTTAATCTTCCTCAAATCTCAACAGGGAAATTTTAATGAGCAACAATTCGGTTTATTGTTAAACTGGAGCAAATTTCACTGTTATCAAAACTGAGCATCAATGTCTACCAGGAGAAAGAATTTCTGAAATGATCTGCAAAAAAGCTCAGAATGCTGACCCCTGTACGATCATGCATGCCGAACATATATTATAAATGCCTGATATTTACTTCTCACGGTGACAATATTCGGCTTCGTTGGCCTCCAGTCTGACGCGCTAACCCCCGTCCTATCTGCCGGATCCTGATACAAACTCATTGTTTACACTGCAAATTCCTTTGTTCAGCAACGGAAAAGTACACATTACAAATGGTCGGAATCTGCTCAATGTCTGACTGGAGGGGGGAGGGATTGGGTGCTGGAGAAGGCGTTCAGGGGCGAGCGTGTCTGTACGTGGGGCCAGGTTTGAAAAATGGCCACAGCATTGATTACAATAGATTGGACAAGGTGGACAGGTGAGAGCAGGGGAATAAGGTAGCTGGGAAGGGGCGTGGGTTAGGATTAGGGTAGGGCTGGCCCTGTGGTAAATGCAATAACTTATATACAAAGCGTTAGAGGTTGTGTTGCTGATTTAGGGTGTGTAGAGCTCACTGCATAAAAAAATACATATTTCTTAAGATGAGAGCAGTTTTAGTGAAGCAATAGTTAATGTATTTGTCTCACAAGCCTTTAACAGTCCGTTTGTTGCTTAGTAGGTATTCCATGACTTTGACTATATGCCAATATATAAGTCTTATGTAACAAATATCTAAGATTAGAGTATGTTTGTCATCAGGTGAGTATATTGCAAGGTACTCAGTAAAAAAAAGAGGTAAATTCAGAAAGACGAGAGACAACCGTTGAAAACTGGTGACGAATGATGTGACAGAAAAATTCAGCAAGGATTTTTGCACATTTCTTCAATCCCCACCTCGGATGTTCTTTGAAATGTACGATAACTTGACGCTCAAAATCAGTGAGTTGTTTTAGCCATACGAGGAGGCCAGAACGAAAGACGAAATTTGTCAGCAAATAACCTTTAAATGACGAATCTCAAGATCGAGCAGTAATTAATTAATCATAAAAGAACCAATTAGAGTTAAGTAATTACGCGAGAGTCGAATGATTATTCAAGGTCATGAATATATAAAAAATTTATTCAACGTCATTCAAGATCAATTATTCCTAAAAGATAAAACAATGATAATAAATTTGCCGTTTTTTTTTTTTGTTTTGTTTTTTTTTACTGAGCACCCTGTAGTTTATTAAAAAAAACTTCGATCTTTGCGGGATGATCAATAAATATGAGGCTATTTTTCATTTACGTGCAAACAATTCAAACCAAAAGAAACTTCTTTCATTGTCTTATGCTATTCAAGTACTATTCAACCTACTCTCTAAAAAAATCTATCATTGCAATAATTGACAGACATCTAAAAATTAAAAAAAAGCTAGTATGCTTCATCATTACTCGTCTGTTAGATGAAAAGGCTTCCCATGAGCTAAAGGCAATGGGGCCCTTTTCCAAGTGGTGTAAATAAATATTCCTATCGTATTAGGGAAACATTGGACGTAGCTTTCGGATTCCTTGAAACCCACCTCCATTTCCTTTGCAGTCGCACATCGCTTCCCACCCAGCTCGACGATGGCCGCCATGTGCGTGTTTGTGTGTTTTCCCAGTTTGATGCTAATCGACAAATACATAGCACCGATTGCGTGTTTTGTGTTAATTAATCCTGTGCAAAGTCTGATGGCGCGGTCTTGCTAGCAGGAACGCTCGGCTCCTAACGACATTAAAGATGACGAAAGTGAAGCTTCGGGTTCCAAACTAGAAAGAAGGAAAAAAGAGGGAGAGACATATCGAAAGGTTAATGACACACAAAAGAAAGCAGAGAAGAAAAGAGAGGATAAGGGGGAGGAGAATTGAGATTGCGGTCTTTCTCTCTGTCTCACTAACTCTATCTTTCTATATCTATCTATCTATCTATCTATCTATCTATCAATCAATCTATCTATCTATCTCAGTCTATTCATATCTATCTATTTATCTCAGTCTATTCATATCTATCTATCTCATCTGTTCATATCTATCTATCTATGTCATCTGTTCATATCTATCTATCTATCTATCTATCTATGTCATCTGTTCATATCTATCTATCTATCTCAGTCTATTCATATCTATCTATCTATCTATCTATCTATCTATCTATCTATCTATCTATCTATCTCATCTGTTCATATCTATCTATCTATCTATCTATCTATCTATCTCAGTCTGTTCATATCTATCTATCTATCTATCTATCTATCACAGTCTATTCATATCTATCTATCTATCTCAGTCTATATCTATCGATCTATCTATTTATCTATCTATCTATCTATCTATCTCAGTCTATTCATCTACCTCATCTATTCATATCTATCTATCTATCTGTCTGTTCATATCTATCTATCTATCTATCTATCTATCTATCTATCTTACAATATTACCATATTTTCCTTATCATAAGCGATATATAAAACCAGTTACGCCCCTTGAATTTTTCCTTTGTTTAAGACACAAGCGTCAACACGTGGGAATATAAACATTGACAAGCATTTTTGAAAAAAGCGAAACTGTTAAAGTAAAACAATTATTTTCTGAAAACCTACGTGTAAAAGAATTTTGATTTTAATATTTCTCTGTAAAAGTACAAATATTGTAAATATTACATATAAATACATATAAATATTAGGTGACTTTTCCAAATCTTATTTTTAGAGAGAGAGAGATGGGGAGAGGCAGAGAGAATCAGATATATATATATATATATATATATATATATATATATATATATATATATAAGTTAGAATGAAAGACAAACAGGAAACAGAACTATTTATGGTGTACTTGCTGGCTGAAATAGTTGCAACTATTTCCTAGTTCACTTAAAAAATATTTCGAAAGCTGATTTTAAAGATACGCAAGCACTTTGGCCTTTATATGCAACATCATATTTTCACCACGTGCTTTTGCCATTCTATTCTGTGCCGACAAAGATACACTTCTGTTAGATAGATAGATAGATAGATAGATAGATAGATAGATAGATAGATAGATAGATAGATTTAATACTTGAGATAAGGAATAGTGTGGGTAGAAGACAGCTTAAATAATTTATACAAAGGTAGAAAAATTATGGTGTAGTGAATGGTCTACTGGAGAACGGGAAACAGATAAAAAGATTTAACATTAAAAAGAGAGAGAGAGAGAGATTACTGGGAGAAGGTCAAAAATTTAGAAAGAATAATGACAAATCTTAGAACTATAAGAGAGAAAAAGAAACAACGGGAAAGTGAAGGGTTTAACAGGAAAATAATAAAGAGAAAGACAGGTATTGAGAGTGAAGTAAGACGAAAAGGGAGGAGAGAGAAAATCACATGCAATGTATAAAAATACGGAAAAAGTACGGAAGCCTAAAATAAAAGAGTATGATAGAGGGAGAGGGAGAAACAATAATGGGGAACTTGTGAGAAAGGAAAAAAAAACGGAAGAAAAAAGAGAATGGAAAGAAAAAAGAAAGAGAACGACAAAGAGAAAAGAAGACAATAACAGAACGAAAAAGAAAAACTAAATAAAAGATATGCATAGTGGAGAGTGTTCGGGTTGAGGAATCGGAGAGCCGAGTTCGAATTCCACCTGAATCCGTTGCATTCACTTACGTGCTAATACCCTTGGAAAAGGTATGAATCCCCTTCTTCTACCCCAGCTATGGGTAAATAGCAGGACAGACCAGGTTCTATAGACTTGGATGGCAACTGGTCTACCGCAGAAAGAAATGGCAACCTACCGCGGGAAAAATATCTGCCTCGACAGTCATGTATCGAAAGATACATGATCGCCTAAACGTATATCATGCATGGCACATAACTGATTGAAATAAAGAACGGAAAAAGAAAGAAAGAAAGAGAACGGGAGAATGAAAAGAAAGTGAAAGAACGAGAGGGAGTAAGAGAAAAAGAGAAGGAAATAAAGAAAGAGAGTATGAAAGAAAGAAAAGAAAGAAGGAGAGAGAAAATAGAAAGGGAAATAAGTGAGAGCAGTTTTCTGAGAGAAAGAGGAAGTCGAAAAATATGTAAAAGAGAATTTATGGCATTGAGGGTGGATAAAGCAGAAGATTGTAAGAATGCGCGACAATACTCAATAAAACGTTGACCACTCAGGTCATAGGTCAAGCCAACGAGATTAATACAAAAGTGCGACGCTGATTATCAACAAGAAGAGAAATACGACGGCCAGTTAAGCGGCAAAGAAACTTGAGTGGACTATAAAGAAAATTAAAAAAAAAAAAAGAAAGTTTCAACGAGAAACATTAAACTAAAATATTAACACATAGAAACATAGTCTTTTTTTTTCATAAGACTGACCACAAGCAAAAATGACATGATTTTGTCAATCTCTCCTATATAAAAGAAGAGATGATTCTCTAGCCGTCACTGTCAGCCTGTGTCTTTGCAGATGTCTCTGTGTATGCGTAGGCCTCTGTGTATGCTTATATGCGTATGCCTCTGTATATGCATATGCCTCTATGTATGTGTATGCCTCTGTGTATGAGTATGCCTCTATGCATGCTTCTGTGTATGCGTATATGCATATACCTCTATGTATGCGTCTATGCGTATGCCTCTCTGTGTGCATATGCGTCTATGTATGCGTATATGCGTATACCTCTGTGTAACCTCCTGACATTCAAGCCTGATTGTGGGCCCCGGCAATGCTTTGTGACCCTCGCTTATCTTACCAACATTTGCTTTTTTCTACCTACATTTATGTAGGTTACAAATTAAACTCAACACAACTGATTATTAAAGGATGAAAAATGTTCGCAGATTTCAACGTCATTCTGGGGTCTTTTGTTTTTTTCGTCCAAATCAGTGAACTTGCTTTTGTTCATGTTAACTCTAGAAAAAACACGGAATATAAAATTCACTAATTTTTATCCATAATGTTAAATGAGTTAAAATTATTCAACTTTTTAACAAGAAAAATCTCAAGATGGAGTAGTCTATTATGAAATGTCTCGAATTTGTATTCAGATATATTATTTATTTTCAATTTTTCTAGTTGAATTGTATCTGATCCATTATTGTACATAATTCCGTTACAATAACCCTTATTCCGGACCTGATTTCACAACGCACTTCCTCAGCTCACTATCCCTACATCTTTGCCCGGGAGCAACATGCCAGCATCATCCAACGAATGTTTATTTCGACTCAGACTATTGTCCTCGTCTTTTGTTTCATTATACCCTCTGACCTTCATCAAGTGCTTGCCCATCAGGACATTTCAAACTGAACCAACGAGGGCGACAATAAGTGAATAAAAACTAAACGAAATATCCTCGGACGTGGTCAGTAAAACAAGAAATATCTACTGCTGTAGATTAAATAAAGGGTTCAAAATTCCATAAAGGATCGACAATCACCTGATGAAGACCGGTGAGAAAAAAGGTCGAAACTTTGCAACAATAACAACACAGATAAGGGCAAGTGTCCGACTATAAATAATGATAACTCCTTATCACAGAAATTACATTCACCTACTTAAATCATGTACGCATTATTTTTAACGAGGTAAGCGATCATGGCTCTCCACACATTCCTTTTTTTATTATATTTGAATTGACATGACTTCTTGGGAAAGATTCAAAACACTATTGCCTTTTCCATGGTTTTGGAGTTAAAGTTGTCCTTCTCCTAGACTCGGTGATATCCAGGGCTATAGAGTCTTCTCTAGTCTACTTTGCTGTTATCTATGGCAGTGGGGGAGAGAAGAAATGGATGTTTGCCTTTCGTAACAAAGTTAATGCAAAAGTTAAAGCAAAAGTTAAAGCAAAGCCTGAGGCTGAAACTTGAAATCAGCTCGCCAATTCGACTTTCAATAACCACTACACCACCCACGCATCCTTCTTAAATATTAATGCCTGGAATTTTCTAAATCTTGTATAGTCGCTACACATAATGGCTATAGTGTTTTTGTGTACTTTTCGGTTGATAAAAGACGACCAAAGGATGCTTCTCTTTGGTATAAACCCTCTGAAGTTGACCCTGACAGAAATGATTATCGACAAAAATAAGGATTGCTGTTTATGACTCACTTCGATGTCAGTGAGCCGTAAAACTTCATACTTTCCCCCTTAAAACTTACTAGTTCCCTTACTGTATATTCGTAACCCATGCAACGCGACACCTCCTTCTCCACACAAACCGCAATATATGACAAATCACCCCCCCTACTTTTAACAGGTCAACCACTCGCTCCGTCCAACCCAAGCGTACACCTCAAATTTATCCACCAATACCCCGCTCCATTTCCGCTTTTCGTTTTCGACGGTTCCAGTCACACATTAAAAAAAAAACATCCTGTCTCCATTCTCTTATGAAAGGAGAAGGGTGCCGCCTGCTGAACGGCGAATAATAACAAAGACACTAAATGGTAGGTGTTTAGCAAACCATCGGGAACAAATTACTTATACCCTTCCCCCCCTCGCCCCCTGGTAGACTGCCACCTTCCTTTTTCCATTCTTGGTAAACTCACACCACAACACCCATCACCGTATCCAGCCGACGCACCCCTCCCAACTGCGTCTGATTCCCCACCCCCAAATGTTTGCTTCATTCCTCGCAGGTGTTTGTCTATTGCACCAAGCAGAAAAGCCATCAGTTTCTGCAAAATTTCTTACCTCAATATCACCACCCTCATTCTCACCGTCACACCAACAACACCTCTTCCTCTTCTTTCTACAACGCTTTCTTTCCTTTCTTTTTCCTTTTATTCTTCACTCATCTTTTTTTATTTCTCTTATTCTTTGCTTTTTCTCTTCTTTTTATTTTTCATTGATTTCTTCTTTTTTTCTTTTCTTTTTTTCATTTTCTTCTATTCTCTTATTCAGCGTTTGGCTTTTCTTTAATTCTTTTTCTCTTATTCATCATTTCATTCTTCTTTGTCTTCACCCATCCCAACATCCTCACCTTTCTTCTTCTTTTTCTTCTTCTTCTTTTTCTTCTTCTTCTTTTTCTTCTTTATTTTTTTTATCAATAAATTCATTCACATTTTCTTTCCTTTCTTTGTTAGACTCCATTCTTTATAGAAGGAACTTTAAATAGAAAAGAAAGAAATTATCTAAATATTTCATTGCATCTAATGCCCTGGTATTATGAATGAACGACTATAAAATGCTCAGTAGTGACTTTGGGTCAAGATAAACGACCAATAAATGTAAAAATTCTCTTGTAAAGTATTTCTTTAGTTTCATAATCAATTATCATATCTCGAAGGTTAATTTTTTTTAAATAAAAAGATTCTAATATTACACTGTATTCAATGTTCTAGAATTATGCTTAGTAGATCGAACAATGAAATTTCTAGAATTATGCTTAGTAGGTCGAACAATGAAATTTCTAGAATTATGCTTAGTAGGTCGAACAATGAAATTTCTAGAATTAAAGTAGGTTGAACAATGAAATTTCTAGAATTATGCTTAGTAGGTCGAACAATGAAATTTCTAGAATTATGCTTAGTAGGTTGAACAATGAAATTTCTAGAATTATGCTTAGTAGATCGAACAATGAAATTTCTAGAATTATGCTTAGTAGGTCGAACAATGAAATTTCTAGAATTATGCTTAGTAGATCGAACAATGAAATTTCTAGAATTATGCTTAGTAGGTCGAACAATGAAATTTCTAGAATTATGCTTAGTAGATCGATCAATGAAATTTCTAGAATTATGCTTTAGGTTGAACAATGAAATTTCTAGAATTATGCTTAGTAGATCGAACAATGAAATTTCTAGAATTATGCTTAGTAGATCGAACAATGAAATTTCTAGAATTATGCTTAGTAGGTCGAACAATGAAATTTCTAGAATTATGCTTAGTAGATCGAACAATGAAATTTCTAGAATTATGCTTAGTAGATCGAACAATGAAATTTCTAGAATTATGCTTAGTAGGTCGAACAATGAAATTTCTAGAATTATCTTAGTAGGTCGAACAATGAAATTTCTAGAATTATGCTTAGTAGGTCGAACAATGAAATTTCTAGAATTATGCTTAGTAGGTCAAACAATGAAATTTCTAGAATTATGCTTAGTAGGTTGAACAATGAAATTTCTAGAATTATGCTTAGTAGGTCGAACAATGAAATTTCTAGAATTATGCTTAGTAGGTCGAACAATGAAATTTCTAGAATTATGCTTAGTAGGTCGAACAATAAAATTTCTAGAATTATGCTTAGTAGGTTGAACAATGAAATTTCTAGAATTATGCTTAGTAGGTCGAACAATGAAATTTCTAGAATTATGCTTAGTAGGTCGAACAATGAAATTTCTAGAATTATGCTTAGTAGGTCGAACAATGAAATTTCTAAATTATGCTTAGTAGGTTGAACAATGAAATTTCTAGAATTATGCTTAGTAGATCGAACAATGAAATTTCTAGAATTATGCAAGTAGATCGAACAATGAAATTTCTAGAATTATGCTTAGTAGGTCGAACAATGAAATTTCTAGAATTATGCTTAGTAGGTCGAACAATGAAATTTCTAGAATTATGCTTAGTAGATCGAACAATGAAATTTCTAGAATTATGCTTAGTAGGTCGAACAATGAAATTTCTAGAATTATGCTTAGTAGGTTGAACAATGAAATTTCTAGAATTATGCTTAGTAGGTTGAACAATGAAATTTCTAGAATTATGCTTAGTAGATCGAACAATGAAATTTCTAGAATTATGCTTAGTAGGTCGAACAATGAAATTTCTAGAATTATGCTTAGTAGATCGAACAATGAAATTTCAAGAATTATGCTTAGTAGATCGAACAATGAAATTTCTAGAATTATGCTTTGTAGGTCGAACAATGAAATTTCTAGAATTATGCTTAGTAGGTCGAACAATGAAATTTCTAGAATTATGCTTAGTAGATCGAACAATGAAATTTCTAGAATTATGCTTAGTAGATCGAACAATGAAATTTCTAGAATTATGCTTAGTAGGTCGAACAATGAAATTTCTAGAATTATGCTTAGTAGGTCGAACAATGAAATTTCTTTAGTAGGTCGAACAATGAAATTTCTAAATTATGCTTAGTAGGTTTGAAATTTCTAGAATTATGCTTAGTAGGTCGAACAATGAAATTTCTAGAATTATGCTTAGTAGGTCGAACAATGAAATTTCTAGAATTATGCTTAGTAGGTCGAACAATGAAATTTCTAGAATTATGCTTAGTAGGTCGAACAATGAAATTTCTAGAATTATGCTTAGTAGGTCGAACAATGAAATTTCTAGAATTATGCTTAGTAGGTCGAACAATGAAATTTCTAGAATTATGCTTAGTAGATCGAACAATGAAATTTCTAGAATTATGCTTAGTAGGTCGAACAATGAAATTTCTAGAATTATGTTTAGTAGGTCGAACAATGAAATTTCTAGAATTATGCTTAGTAGGTCGTAAAACAATGAAATTTCTAGAATTATGCTTAGTAGGTTGAACAATGAAATTTCTAGAATTATGCTTAGTAGATCGAACAATAAAATTTCTAGAATTATGCTTAGTAGGTTGAACAAATGAAATTTCTAGAATTATGCTTAGTAGGTCGAACAATGAAATTTCTAGAATTATGCTTAGTAGGTCGAACAATGAAATTTCTAGAATTATGCTTAGTAGGTCGAACAATGAAATTTCTAGAATTATGCTTAGTAGGTCGAACAATGAAATTTCTAGAATTATGCTTAGTAGGTCGAACAATGAAATTTCTAGAATTAAACTTAGTAGGTTGAACAATGAAATTTCTAGAATTATGCTTAGTAGGTCGAACAATGAAATTTCTAGAATTAACAAAGTAGGTCGAACAATGAAATTTCTAGAATTATGCTTAGTAGGTCGAACAATGAAATTTTAGAATTATGCTTAGTAGGTCGAACAATGAAATTTCTAGAATTATTAGTAGGTTGAACAATGAAATTCTAGAATTATGCCACCTTCGAACAATGAAATTTTCTAAATTATGCTTAGTAGATCGAACAATGAAATTTCTAGAATTATGCTTAATAGGTCGAACAATGAAATTTCTAGAATTATGTTTAGTAGATCGAACAATGAAATTTCTAGAATTATGCTTAGTAGATCGAACAATGAAAAGAATTATGCTTAGTAGGTTGAACAATAAAATTTCTAGAATTATGCTTAGTAGATCGAACAATGAAATTTCTAGAATTATGCTTAGTAGGTCGAACAATGAAATTTCTAGAATTATGCTTAGTAGGTCGAACAATGAAATTTCTAGAATTATGCTTTAGGTTGAACAATGAAATTTCTAGAATTATGCTTAGTAGATCGAACAATGAAATTTCTAGAATTATGCTTAGTAGGTCGAACAATGAAATTTCTAGAATTATGCTTAGTAGGTCGAACAATGAAATTTCTAGAATTATGCTTAGTAGGTCGAACAATGAAATTTCTAGAATTATGCTTAGTAGGTCGAACAATGAAATTTCTAGAATTATGCTTAGTAGGTTGAACAATGAAATTTCTAGAATTATGCTTAGTAGGTCGAACAATGAAATTTCTAGAATTATGCTTAGTAGGTCGAACAATGAAATTTCTAGAATTATGCTTAGTAGGTTGAACAATGAAATTTCTAGAATTATGCTTAGTAGGTCGAACAATGAAATTTCTAGAATTATGCTTAGTAGGTCGAACAATGAAATTTCTAGAATTATTTTTAGTAGATCGAACAATGAAATTTCTAGAATTATGCTTAGTAGGTCGAATAATGAAATTTCTAGAATTATGTAGTAGGTCGAACAATGAAATTTCTAGAATTATGCTTAGTAGGTTGAACAATGAAATTTCTAGAATTATGCTTAGTAGATCGAACAATGAAATTTCTAGAATTATGCTTAGTAGATCGAACAATGAAATTTCTAGAATTATGCTTAGTAGATCGAACAATGAAATTTCTAGAATTATGCTTAGTAGGTCGAACAATGAAATTTCTAGAATTATGCTTAGTAGGTCGAACAATGAAATTTCTAGGATTATGCTTAGTAGGTCGAACAATGAAATTTCTAGAATTATGCTTAGTAGGTTGAACAATGAAATTTCTAGAATTATGCTTAGTAGGTCGAACAATGAAATTTCTAGAATTATCTAGTAGGTCGAACAATGAAATTTCTAGAATTATGCTTAGTAGGTTGAACAATGAAATTTCTAGAATTATGCTTAGTAGGTCGAACAATGAAATTTCTAGAATTATGCTTAGTAGGTCGAACAATGAAATTTCTAGAATTATGCTTAGTAGGTCGAACAATGAAATTTCTAGAATTATGCTTAGTAGGTTGAACAATGAAATTTCTAGAATTATGCTTAGTAGGTCGAACAATGAAATTTCTAGAATTATGCTTAGTAGATCGAACAATGAAATTTGTAGAATTATGCTTAGTAGGTCGAACAATGAAATTTCTAGAATTATGCTTAGTAGATCGAACAATGAAATTTCTAGAATTATGCTTAGTAGATCGAACAATGAAATTTCTAGAATTATGCTTAGTAGGTTGAACAATGAAATTTCTAGAATTATGCTTAGTAGGTTGAACAATGAAATTTCTAGAATTATGCTTAGTAGATCGAACAATGAAATTTCTAGAATTATGCTTAGTAGGTCGAACAATGAAATTTCGAGATTCTTATGACTGTTTGAAAGAAGCAATCATTCCAAACATATCGGCATAATACTTGTATTTTTTATATAAATTACGTTTAGCTTAGTTCGGTAAAGGGCATAAAGTGTGAGAATTACAGCTAGGATCGAACCCTCTACATTAGTCTGAGATTGGCTTGCTAACAATAATATCATAATAGGATGTGTGTTTATATTTGCTAAATTTAGCTTAAAGGGGAAAAGGAGATAAATAAAATGTGGAATAGAATAATATAAAAATTGTATAATTTTTTTTAGTCATGTTCACCAAATACAAGGCCCAAGAGTCACTTAAGGGGAGGGAATTAATGTTTGGAGTTATATTAGCGTAAGAAAGGAGAAGCGTTAGGGGTATAGAGTTGAAGTAGACTTAGACGGACCCTGAAACCTAAACATGAAAAAAGGGATAAACCTCTACTAATGTTCAAAACTCCGAGGAGGAGTATGAACTGGACAATAGGCGAACCTATCTACTCCTATTAAATCCTCATTACAGACAAAAAATCAAAACAAAAAATTCAAAAATTTCTTAAAAATCCAATGGATGCTCGCACAATTTTTGTTCAATGAGTTGGTTTGATGAAGAACTTTGTTCAAAACGTAATAGAGGTCTTTCTTAAGACCTCTCTTAAGACCTATCTTAAAACCTATCGCATCGTTAGGTACACATGCAGTTTTGAATTCTTCTCCTAGACTGATTAACAGCCAAGTCTAGAGAGCAAAGTCTACTCTGCTATTTACCCCATTGCCAGTGGGGGGGATATGTGTTCATACGTTTGCCAAATGAATTTGTACCAAAGTGAATGTAACGAACTTGATTCGAATTCGAACTCAGTTTTCCGATTACTAATTCTGAGCCGGTTTCCTTTACACCACCCGCACACCCAAAGAGGAAGAATAAAACAAAAAGCAGTACTCAAGGAAAAAAAAAGAAAAAGTGAAAAGATGGCACAAGACTAGATAGTTGAGCCGTCCAATGAAGATCATCAGCTTACAAAAATTGCTCTCCATTGCTTGTTTTTGAATGAAAGAGGCGAATTTTGAATGAAAGAAAAAAAATGCAGTTCCTATTTTTTCAATAATAATTTTCACACTTTTCCTCCATATCATTTTCTCCATAGTTTTTCTTGTATCTTTTCTTCATTCCGTTGACGCGCAGAGTTGGAGAAATGTACTTTTCTGAAATCCATTCTTTCTGGTTAGAGTTTACAAAATGGCTGATTATTGACATGTCACGATGGTTAACGAAGAAAAAACTCATGGGTATCAATTCTTGTTATTACTGTACATCCGTCAGTTGTCGTAGCAAAAAGGTTGACCGCCATTGTCGACTACTTTCAGATATTTTTTTATTTTTACACTTCGTAGATTTCCTTTTCTTTGTTTTGATTTTCCTTTTGTTATACTTGGCATTCCGTTTTCCCGTCATTTTTCTTCCATTTATTTTTCCCTCCTTTTGCTTTAATTTATTTTTTTCTGCCTTTTTCTTTAATTTATGTTTTCCCGCCTTTTTCTTTAATTTATGTTTTCCCGCCTTTTCGGCCCTGTTTTTGTTTTTTGCATCTTTCTTTCTTGTCTGTTTTTATTCGTTTTCGTTCGTTTTTCATTTTCTATCAATGATAAATCTCAAACTAAGTTGTACGAAGCACATCACTGTCCCTTCAAGATTTTTCATAATTTGGGATAAAATTGTCCAAGAATTCACCGTCCCACAAGTGGATAGACAATACATCGCATCACATATTTTTACGTTTCTAATTAGCTGAGACACTGGGACAAACGAAAGATGGAGAATCAAATCATTGCATTGAATCAATCCTCTCAGTAGATTGACCCTTTATCTCCACATCCCAAATTAGTCCATCCTGCGTATGACGATAAACTACACCCAACAGCAAGACCTCTGATCAGGAGGTTTTGGGGTGCGTGGAACCACCTCTTAATTTCTGGTGTTCCCAGGTCCAATCTGACCCAGGGTGACAGCGCTTGTTAGGGTTCCAGCTGGGGGTAAATAGTTAACTCTCCAAACTGGGGTCAAAACAATATGAAAAGTGTAAAAATAAGTTTTAATACCGGCAATACGTTTTTGTAAAAAAAACTTACCAGCAATAGATTTTTGAAGAAAAAATTATTACTAGCAATTTTTGATCCAGCCATTTTTGAAAAAAATATTAACAGCAATACATTTCTAGGGAAAAATATTGCCAGCAATGCATTTTGGGAAAAAATATTACTAACAATAAATTTTTGAAGAACCAATATTACCAGCAATACATTTTTGAAAAAAAGTTATTGACAGCAATAAAAATCTTGTCGGCATTAAATAACCAATTGAGGTTGATATGTCGTAAAACAAAACAAAACACACCATGTCCTCGTGTTTTTAACGAAACCACGCGGTTCTTGTCCTACTTTCTATCTCATTCCGATACAAATTCTATTCATCAGAATTCAGCTTGGTTGTCCGATGGAGCTGGCACCTAGCTTCTTTGGCAACACTACGAAGATAGATCTATTAAGGTCACTACTCTTGTATATTTTATATACTGTTGTATATCAATTTCTCTACAAATGTGTATCTGAAAAGAATACAGGAATGAAAGCAAACTCTCGATAACAACCCTCTTTACAAAAATATATCAATCAAACCGGATCTACAAATTGTTTCCTTACAAACAATATAGATTCTATTCATACGAAACTATTGTAAAAATTTTGTCGGCATTAAATAACCCATTAAGGTTCCTACGCCGTCAAACAAAACAAACCCAAATAAACCCTTAATCTTTGGATCTTCTTTATACAACTCTGTTATTGTTTGTTGTTGTCGATTTGCGCGATTCCACAACAATCAAATATGGTCAGCCTCGTAGTGGGATTCGACATGTTAAGAAGGGATTCTTTCTTTTTTACGTACAAATTTGTTTTCTTCATCAAATTTCCTTCTCGCTCCATCCCTAACTACAATAAGTTTCTAGTTAGTCAGTTGCCATAATGCGAATAGCCAGGGGAATTTAAAAACCAAGTCTTTTATCATATTAGTAAAACGTTAACGCGAACGCTTGCATCACTGAGTTCATTTTTTTTTAATATTGTTCATTCAATACAAGGCCTAAGTGCCACTCAAGATAGAGGGTTACTGAATGGGGATGTTATAAGGGCCTAAGAGCAAGAGTTGCATATTATGAAGATATGTAGGAAAGATAACAATTGACTCTTTACTTCAAGATGTTAAGATTTAGCTAGTCATCAAGAAAGCATGCCCTCGGGAGTCCGTTTTCACATTTCTGAGAAAGAATCTGTCTGAGTGGAACCTATCCGTTACCAATTGAAAATAAAAGGGAGTGAGGATGAGTCGACTCAATGTACATGGACTGGCGGGTCTGGACTAGTGTAAACCAGGAATATAGTTTGCGTGAATATCTGCCATGAAAAATAACGAAAAGGCTGTAAAGTGGAGATTAGACTAGTGCAGCAGGAGTACACCATTTTTGGTCTGGTCGGGCTATTGTAAAAATAAAATATAACAGGAGGAGTCGGGTACTTTCTGGAGTGGTGCAGGGATCCAGCCATTTTTCCATCGTCTATAATGATTGATCGTATATACGAGATTAACTTGATATCGGGGTTGAGCCTTCTTGGTAGTTCCAGTTGGAGAAAATCCAGACCAAAGATCGAAGACTAATGAAGACGTTATAAAAGTCAGGACAGCGGAATATCGATCTTACATCCGGGTATCTTTGATTATTTTCTCTGTAGCTAAGATCTCTATTGAAAAGAGAAAACTTCTTTCAGGATTTGACTCGTACTTGAATCTTGAATTACGAAGTTTATATTAATATCCATCCCCCAACACCCCCTCTATCACATATCCATCCCAACCACCCCACCACATCTCTGTCACTTCTCGACGCCAACATATCATTTGATTCTACCTTCTTTTGTATTTTCCTAGTACTTCCTATCTTTATTACACACACACACACACACACACACACATATATATATATATATATATATATATATATATATATATATATATATATGATCCCAGGTTTCGATCTCGGCTTGAAACAATCGCATGTTTAGTCCCACTAATGAACAGTCTGTCAGTGGATTACTATATATATATATATATATATATATATATATATATATATTATTTGATTATTTATATTATTTGGATACCTATACTCGACTGGTGTGAAAAAAAAACCGGATATTACAATTTGCGAATAAGAATATGTTTAAACAAACTGGTATCAAAAAAGAAACAGTAAAAAGAAAAAACTGCTGAAACCATACACCTTGATTGAAAAAGAAATCACTCAACACTGCAATGCCAAAAGGAAAAAAAAAACGCCAATCGAGTAAATTAAGAAAAAAATACCGAATAGATCAAATAGAGGAAAGTATAAAAAAAACTAGGGAGTCACAATCTTCCTACCAATGTTCCACCTAACGGATCATCAAGATAGACTGGCTAAATTTTGGTACACTGGCTCATTAGGTTATATATATATATATATATATATATATATATATATATATATATATATATATACACTTACATAAAAAAACATTAAAAATTAAGGAATGTCCACTTAGATAAAAAATAAAAAGTAAAAAATGTCATCTCACGTGAATGCACAAGGATTCATCGTCCAATCCCGCCATTCTTTAAACAACTTTGCAAAGTGAAAACAGACTCTAGTTAATAACGACATCCAGAATCATCTTCTAGAAAATCAAATTGGATAATTTCTCTCCGAAGTAAGCTATAGTAAAACTGGCCATAAAGAAAAGACAATGCTGTTAACATTTTCTATAATAATCACGTTAATTATAAGCAGGACAAATTTCCCCTTAAAAATATTAAGAAATACGTGTGTGATCTTTGTGTCTTTGTGTGTGTGTGTGTGTGTGTGTGTGTGTGTGTGTGTGTGTGTGTGTGTGTGTCCGTGTGTGTGCGTGTGCGCGCGCGTACGGGTGAATCCTCATTGTCCTAAATGATCCGGATACAGTAATCATAGGAAGTTCCGCCATATCCATAGCAAATTGTTCATTCTGTTGGTTGATTCCCCGCCGATACACCGCACATATTATTTGTTGGTGAGGGAGCGGGGGGCGGAGAGGGTTCTCCTTTTAGGTCTGGATGGAGGGGGTTATGCTAGAGAGTTTATTTTAGATTTGCTAATAGTCCTTCTTATTCTTATACAATCAATTCAAATTGGACTCAAGCCGAAAAACTCGACACTTTCGAGTGGGCCGGGAGGGACAGTGTCAGTCCTTTGCTTTCTCGTTTTCTTTCTTCCTTTCTTTCTTTCTTTCTTTCTTTCTTTCTTTCTTTCTTTCTTTCTTTCTTTCTGATGTTTTGGGTTTCTTTTTGTTGTCTTCTTTCTTTCTTTTTCCTTTTCTTTATTTATTTCTCGTATAATCTTCTTTCTTTTTTTCTTCTTTTTCTATGTTTCTTTTAAGGGTTAATTTTTATGTTTACTTTTTCTGTCTTTTGAGCCTCTTTTTGTTGTCTTCTCTTCTTTTTTTTCCCCATTTTTCGTTTTAATTTCTTCCTTCGATTTTCTTACTCTCTTCCTTTCTCTTTTTATTTTCTTTCTCTTTATTAAAGGCTCCTTTTCTGTCTTTCTTTCTTCATTCTATATTTCTTTGTTTTGCTTCCCTTCCCACACTCATCGCCTCTTAATTTTCTACACATAACCAAAAACCTGTGAAAGGGTTTTTTCTCTTCTTCCACGTTTTGTGGTGGCGCGTAAGACTTGGGTATAAAATAGCAAAGTGATGATTATCTCCGTCGCAAAAGGCAGCCCAGCAGGTGTCCTACTTCGCAGGAGTAGGAGGAGGTATAAGGGTGGGGGGTGATAATGAGACAGGGGAACAAAGGAATGGGGGAGGAGGACCTGCAATTCTAAATTCCCTTCATCCTCCTCGCCACCGACGAGAAAAGAAAAAAAAATCAAACAAATAAAATCAATCAAATTAACAAAAAATACATTGAAGAAATCAATTTAACCGTTTGGGGGTGTGGGGGTGCAGATCTCATATCCCTCCCCCTCCCACCCCTTACGAACACATACTCGAGACAATGAAAGAAACTCTAAACTCTTTCGAGTCGTAAGTTTTCCTGTACACACAAGGAAAATGATGATCTCATGTTGACACTTTTTTCACCTACAACAGAGCGAAATCTTTGCAATTCTTTTAATACACCCACTTTATATATATATATATATATATATATATTTATATATATATATATATATATATATATATATATATATATATATATCGTTACTTTTGTTTCGTATACTATTATACATCCTACAAACACACACACAGACACTCAGATATATAAGCATATAGGTATAAATGTCTACCTGATAAACCACTACATAAGACCGAGACATTCTTGCGGACATAAGAACACACACACACAAACACACAATCACATACACAAACACAAACACACACACACACATACATACATACATACATATATATATATATATATATATATATATATATTATGCAGTGTTACGTTAAAACATGCACATACCCACTACAAAACTGTACTTCTTGTTTCAACGTTAAAAAAATTTATAACGTTTCATCAGGTGGCAAATTACGATGATACTAAAATATTTTATTCCGAAATGCAGTTAACCAAGCACGACTTCCACTTCAGTCAGTGGAAAGTTACTCATAAAAGGTAAGGAAAGAATTTACATGTAGCGAAAGAAAGGAAGCTAAATGATTAGTAACAGCGAGAGAGAAGAGAAATAAGAAGAAAAGGCCAAGAAAAGGAAATAACGGTATATATATTTTTATATATTAAGAAAAAACTTTCTGGTGATGCGTTTTGTTCTTTAGGACTTCATTGGATTAAATAGGAGAATTCTCAAGGAATCTATATAAAATGCTATGCGAACACAAAAGGAACATTTTCCAAAACAATACGTCAAATGCGTTGGTTGCCAACCGTATTCAGACTGACCACAAGTTTTACATTAAAAACATTACTCTGATCAAAGGAGGAAAATAATTCACTAGGACGAAAATGTCTAGAGAGTGCCTTGATTGCAATGTCATCCTGGCAGAACTTACATTATCACAGTGCGCGCGCGCCCGCGCGCGCGTGTGTGTGTGTGTGTGTGTGTGTGTGTGTGTGTGTGTGTGTGTCGGCTAATGTGCAGTGGATCATCATTGTACCGTGTTCAAACCCATGCAAAAGCAAGTATTGTGAATACAAACGAGCAACTTCACAAATTCATAAAGTTATCATTATTCTATGAATAATTCGACATGACATAACTATTTCCGTTTTGGACGATTCGCTCTTCAACCTTCTTCAGCCAGATGTTACATCCAGTAAATCTTTTGGTGTTTGTTTACAATTTTAGTTTTTTTTTTTTTATTTGTTTTTGCTTTGTTAATTTATTTCTGCTGGGTTCTAATTGCCATGCCTGAGCAGCAAAAGTCTCAATTGCAGCAAGAAACATCAGCATTCGGATCTTTTAGTTCATTTGAGTCAATGTAAAACATAGCAAGATTATAGGAACTTGAAGATTATTGGACGCAAAATACACCAACGAAGGCCATAAAGAACACTGGGTTAAACGTTATGATGTAAGCAACAAAAATGAGGATATTAATCCGAACGTTTCGTGGATTTAAAATTCGTTATCACAAATCTTTCGACGACACACATACCGATAAGTCTCGTGTGAATTTTATTTGACATCTTTTTAGAAAGTAAACTCCTTTTTTTTCTATATCGTCCCACAAATTCAAATGATTTCAAATAGTTTGAAGCAGTGTAACATTTCGTAAAATCTTAACTCTATCAACTAGATAGTTTCACGCTTTATCTAACTTTAGCTAGGCTTTTAGTCAGGGCTTCTCTGTGAAATTATTAACTCACTAGTAAAGGCGATCTTCAATTGGAAGAACCTTGTCCTTGTAGTCCTGAAGAAGATGAAACTTTGGTAACTGTTGCGTGACAATATCTCAAGTACGTTTCACAGATCATTACTTCTGCATCATTTGCGCACTTCGACATGGAGTAATGGTTTTCAAGCTTGTCTTTTTAGATCAATTACGACTGAGTAGTGAGTTCGATCCTCACTGGGTACTCCATATTTTTAGCCTTGTGCTACATCTAAGCTACGCTTAGAAAATCTGCGTCGTGACTCACTTCCTTACAGAGTTAGCCGTACTTGAACCAAAATAATTATTAAACACAAATGTGACCAACCTATTAATAAACCTCGCTTAGTCTGACACAAGGCTAGAGGTTCTGCTATCAGGCTGAGATAGTCTCGTATTTTCCACTGGTACTAAAGTTACACAGTTCAGGTAAAATGTCTAGATTTCAAGATTTTCTAGATAATCAAAGCATCCTCAGTAAAAAGACTGCGGCTACACAGTCTTCTATCACTACTATACACCATCTGAACTTGTAGTAAAGAAGATATATATTTATAGTCAGATTTCATTAAGGATTCCGTTTGAAACCTTCTTTTAAACAAATCCCACAACTTTCAAACATTTTTTTTACTTATTGATTAAATTGTTTTTTCGGTTTATCAACCTTTTGCAGGTTATTTAAAGCCAGAAAATATTTTTAGATAGTAAGAATTTTTTTTGAGATAATGGTTTAGTGATAAAAGTCGTACTAATTAACCGATAGCTGCAGGAGAAAATTAGTGGATCCATGCCTTTGTATATGTGCGTATGACGAACCCGATTGGAATTGGAACTCGGCTCTCCAATTTTCAATTCTAAGCCGTTATCCTGTACACCACCCGTACATTCAAGTTTCCCCAAGTGGTCGCCCATCTAGGGACTGACAAGGCTCGACGTTGCTTAACTTCTGTGATCGTACGAGAACCGGTGTTTCAACATGGTATGGCCGTAAGGTTCAAACCCGTTTTTTAAACACCTGGTCATAACGTATTTTTAAAATCGCTTTAAAGAAAGGATTTCATATTTGCTTTAGGAAAATTATAAAACCAGCAAAAGTAAGTCTGAAAAAAAAATAAAATAAAATCTAACATTATATTGTTTAAAATTTATATTATTGATGTACAAATTGTGCTGAATATCTGAGATAGAGAGTTTGTAGACATAAACAGTTTAGACATGGAAATCAACCGTGCAGAATGACTGGTAATATAGCACTTTAAACTATTCTTTGTATGGGCCCACTTCATAGGCCACTGGGGTCATACAGGAAGCAGTAAAGGAAGAAACAATTTTCCTGTTTTTTGTTTAGGACTAATTTTTAAATAATGGTGCAGACCTTGAATTTGTTTTATTTATTTACCCGAAACGCCCCTTGGATTGATATTCTTGACCTTCCTATTGAGAATTGTGCAGGTGAGATTTCCTCTTGGGTTAAAGCCCGTATCGCTGCTTTTGTACCTTCCAGGAAACCACAATCTTTTCCATGGTTTACACCAGCTTTTTCTGCCGCTATAGACCATAGGAATCATTTTTCCGGCTATACCAGCGTGACAGTTCTAATCATAGCAGACGCCTATTTGTGGCTGCACGTAATAAATGTCATCATGTCCTCGAATGGGCTAAGTATTTGTTTGCTGATAGAATGAAGCACCGCATAGCCTCTAACAACTTTGGCTCTCGTGACAACTGATGGTTCTTTAATAGTATAGTAATTAAAAGTAAGTTTTCTATTCTCTCAGTCTTCTCTCAATTTGAGGTATTAACATTATCTGCTGATAAAGGAGAATATTTTGCCCGTAAATTCCCTTCAAACTTTTCTTCTAACACATCTAGAGAATCCTTGCTTGATTTTCCACTTAGAAAAGAGTCGCTATTGGGTGATATCCATATAATTCCGTCCATGGTTTCTGTTATCATCTCGAAAGCATATGGATTTGGTGGTATCCCTGCAATTGTCCTTAAGAAATGTACTCCTGAACTGGTTCCTTTTCTATGTACAATAGGTGCCTCCCTGCTTCTTGCTTCTTCTTTGTTGGAAATCCTCTTCTGCTGTTCTTGTCTTTAAGATTTTGCAATACGGTTTTCACTAGTCTAGATTAACTACTGATTTGTTAACGGTTATGGCTGAAAAAGTCCGTCAAGCTTTAGATAAAAATGGTGAAACAAGTCTTCTTCGCAAGTTGAAAGGTTATGGTATTTCTGAAGAAATTTTTGAACTGATTTTGTTTTTCATAACAAACTGCGAAATGAATGTTTACTCTTCTAGATCTTTTTGCATTAACGTCGTCCAGGGCTCTATCTTAGGACCTAGGTTGTACCTAATTTTCATCAACAAACTTCGTGATGTCACCAGTTCTCAACTCGGTATCTATGCTATTGACACAACCATCTATTCTTAAGAGCAAGTTTGATCTGTTCGATATCTGATCTACTTTTGGTTCTTAATTGGGGCAAGTAATGGCTTTTAAATTTAACGCCGCAAAACCAAAACTGCTTTCTTTTAATCGTCTGAGAGAATCCCTCTCCTGCAGATATTAATCTCAAGGAGAGGAATTCATTGCGCCTTCTTAGAAAAGAGTCGCTATTGAGTGATTTGTATATAATTCCGTCCATCGTTTCTGTTATCATCTCTAAAGTGGATCCTTACAAAGCACATGGACTTGGTGGTATCCCTGTAATAGTCATTCTCGGTAATGTGCTCCGGAACTGACTCCTGTTCTCTCTAAATTGTAGAATAAATGCATCGTTGCCTATTGCTTGCTGGAAAACAACTTCTGTTGTTAAAGTCAGATGAACCTCCTGATCTTTTTATGAGTCTATCAGCCTTCTACTTCTTTTTGACAAAGTATTAGAGGTTCTCACATCGCAAGGTCTTCTTTCAGATAATCAGTATGGCTTTCGCTTCTCTAGGTCAACTGCTGATGTATTAATGATTATTGCTGAAAGAGTCTACCAAGCTTTACATAAGAATGGTGAAGCTTTGGTTGTTGCTTTGGAAATACAAGTTGAAAGGTTATGGTATTTTGGGGTGAATTTTTGAATTGATTCATTCACTCTTATAAAATCGCGAAATGAAAGTTGTCCTGAACGGCCACCCTTCTAGATATTTTTGTATTAATGCAAGTGTCCGCCAGGGATCTATCCTTGGACCTGCATCAATGATCTTCCTGGTGGCATCTGTTCTCAACATGGTATCTACGTTGATGATGCATCTATTTACTCTTGTCTCAATAGTAAGTCCTATCAGTTCGATAAAATCAAATTGGCAGCGGATCTATAAAAAAAATGACCTATAATTTACTGTTAACTGGTGCAAGGAATGACTTGTTAATTTTCACGCTTCCAAACCAAAACTTCTCTCTATTAATCATCTGAGAAACCTATTTCTGTCTTTCATTATCATGATGCTAACCTCTAGGAGAGTGACTCGTTGCCTCTTCTTGGGCTAACATTCTAGGCTGACATTAAGTAGAATGATTATATTGAATCCATTGCTAAATCTGTCGCTAAGAAATTTGGTTCACTGTGTTGTGCTAAACATTTTTCTTTCTAGAATTTATCTTACACATTTATTTGTCCAAGGTGCCCTTGCTATATATTTAAAGATCCTTGATAAAATCCAAAGAAGAATCAGCAATGTTATTAGTTCTGACCTGGCATCTTGGATTCAATCGTTTTCCCACCCCCGTAATGTAGTTTCGTTGTGTCTTTACCTTAAATATTTTCATGGGAATTGTTCGGATGGATTATCTGCTATGTTATCTAGACTTTATGAATATAAGCGCTGTGCTAGATTGCCAATAACATATCATCCATTCACAGAGTTGAATTGGCTGCCAGATGCAACCGTAACTTCTATGCTAACAGTTTATTTTCACACAATTTTTGTTTGTTTTTTCTCCTCCGGATCCATATTTTCCAGCGAAATTTGATCTTCAAAAATTTAAATGCAATGTCAATCGTTCTCTACTGTCTTTTTTATTTGTATTCTATTGTTCGCGCTCCTTAATATTTCTCTTTCTTATTCTTTCACACTCACTAATTCCTTGTGTGTTGTGGTTTTACTGCCGTGCATGGGGTGAAATGATAACAAAATTATTTTATTTATGTGTTTTTGCATACCTCCTTCGGTTCCAAAGTTTGGTATTTCATTAAGGTTAGGTTATTGACTCTTGGTTGTTTAGCCTTTTGAGTCACGATGTGGCAGTAGATAGTATCATAGGAATTCATTTTCGTGTTTGTATTTTAAATGAACTGATCTTTCGTTAAGGATATATATATATATATATATATATATAATACATATATATATATATATATATTAATTTAATACGCACACACACACACACGCACACCCACCTAACACACACACCCACCTAACACACACACCCACACCACACCACACACACACACACACACACACACATATATATATATATATATATAAAATTACTACAGTCCACTGTCTGAGTTGAATAAGGCTGACGCATTCGACGTTAGTTGAAATAGACTATACTCACGAGGTAATATAGGATTTCAGTTATGTAATTTATGTGATCTGTTATAATAAATACATTGAGCTCTTTTTGTGGATCAGTTTTAATATTTTATTTTATTAGGATCCACTTGGATTATATACAAACGGATTTATTACTTGTGCTATATATATATATATATATATATATATATATATATATATATATATATATATATATATATATATATATATATATATATATATATATATATATATATATATATATATATATATAAACAATTTCTAGTACTGCCAAGTCTAATCAGACATTTGAGGAATAAAATTATGGGATCATATTAAACATAAGATACAACAATATCCACGTTTAAAACATAAAATGTAAAGGTACCTTTCGACCGACACATTTTCAAACACAATCGTCGGTAATCTAAAACGGAGTACTAACAAGAAAATTTTTATTAATACCGTAATAAAACAGGATGGTAAGGAAAAAAAAATTGTTTTGCCTCAAATCATGTAACCGTTCCCCAAATAAGGCCAACTTAAACTTCATATATATATATATATATATATATATATATATATATATATATATATAATCTCTCTACCTGGCTAATTTTCATTCATTATAGAGTAATCATATTGTTCTTTGCTGAACATAATCATATTGTTGTTTGCTGTTAAATATTAGAAGTTTAAATGATACAAAAAATAATTCAGTAGGTTTAAAGATGGAAATTTTTTAATTAGTTTTTATGCCTACTTTTCATTCCTTATACTTTTACAAACTTTGAAGGCCGGTTTCTGATACCAAAACAAGGTCAAGTGTCCATATAAAGTCCATATAAATATATGTCCAAAACACAACTCATAACAAACGTCGTCCGCTTGCTTCTTTACACTCATGCACCCGTCAGATCATTGACTGGCGGAACCTTTGAAAGACTGTCAAATAGTTTCTCAGGACTTCATGACACTTTGAGGGAATGTCTCTGCATTATTAAATTCTGCTACATAGAGCAATTGTTTCAGGTAGCCCACAGATAAAAATCAAAAGGATTGAGGTCAGGGGAACGTGCAAACCATGGAAGCGTTCCTCCCCTATCTATCCACCGTTTATGGTAGATGTCAGAGAGTACATCGCAAACAATGTGCTGCATGAAGCACATGCATGAAGCACATGCATGAAGCACATGCGTCTTCGTATTAACAGGGGTATAACTTCTAGCAGATCACGAAGTGTGTTCGAAATAAAATCCCTGTAGGCAGCTGCTGTAAGACGTGCCGGGCGAATATATGGACCTACCAGACAGTCACATACAATTCCAACCTACATATTAGTCATAAACTGATGCTGGTGTCTAGTCTGTATTATACCATGGAGGATTCCGATCCGACCACAAATGTTGGTTGTTTACATTTGTTATTCCATCTGTCCCAAATGTTGCCTCATC